GATTGTTTAAATAAAAGATATATATCCTGTGTTATTGTCCAAGAGTCCAGTCTCTTTTCTATTGAATAAAGAAATTGTTCCTCAGCTTATCAACCTCTTTTCTTGAAAAATTTATGTTTCTCCCCATTTTTCAAGAAAATTATAAGTTAGAGGTGAATTTTTGTGAGAAAACATTTTGAATTATTCCAGATAGTCAATATATGAATTCATTAGGGCTGTAATAGCGTCTGTGTCATAAGGGATATGTTGATTAGAGAATTACAAAAAAAAAAAATACATAGAATATAGGTCCATACTTTCTGGATCTATGGTTAGAGTTTGTTGTATGGCATGGTATTTGTACTTCTGTAAAAAAAAAGGGGGGGGGGGGGGGGGGAATTTTTAAGTGGTCAGGGAGAAAGACTTCCAGGAAGCAGACTAGATCAATCACTGCTGACCAGACAAACCTAGCTACTGTCCCTTGTTGGAGGAACATCTATCTCAACTTTCGAAGATCACAGGCTTTTTATCCACACACAAACATATTGGCCCACACATTGCCTCTCATCAGAGTGCTAAATGTCACCAGTATTTTGTCCTGTAGTAACAAATCTTTTGGGATGAACATATGGCCTTGTACTTTATAAACATCTGTTGGTTGCGATTTCCTTCCCACAACCTTCCCAGTAAAGAAACTAACATATGTCTGAGGAGTTATCATTTATAACCAACAATACAATATCTAGGAACTTGTTGCAAGGCAGAAAATTTAACAAATGGTAAAATTGTGCTGGTTATTAAGCTAAATCTTTGCAAACCATATTTAACTATTTGTAATATCATGCTTGTTGATTTTACTATTGTTGCTAATAAGCCTATACCTTGTTAATCAGATTTTACAATTGTACGTCTACGAATCACTTTCGTTTTTATAGTATGAATATGTGTCTCGTGCAGTATATCAATTATTTGTAATTTCATTTATGGAGAAGAGTTCATAAGTTGCTAGAACTTGTCTCGGATCCATTTATCTAATACTGATAATAGAATACGTTTAAATCAATCAATCAGATTTTATCAGTGATAATATCGTTGTTGTTAATAAGCCCAAACCTTGTTAATTAGATTTTATCAGTGATAATATCGTTGTTGTTGATAAGCCTATACCTTGTTAATTAGATTTTATCAGTGATAATATCGTTGTTGTTGATAAGCCTATACCTTGTTAATTAGATTTTATCAGTGATAATATCGTTGTTGTTGATAAGCCCAAACCTTGTTAATTAGATTTTATCAGTGATAATATCGTTGTTGTTGATAAGCCCAAACCTTGTTAATTAGATTTTATCAGTGATAATATCGTTGTTGTTGATAAGCCTATACCTTGTTAATTAGATTTTATCAGTGATAATATCGTTGTTGTTGATAAGCCTATACCTTGTTAATTAGATTTTATCAGTGATAATATCGTTGTTGTTGATAAGCCCAAACCTTGTTAATTAGATTTTATCAGTGATAATATCGTTGTTGTTGATAAGCCCAAACCTTGTTAATTAGATTTTATCAGTGATAATATCGTTGTTGTTGATAAGCCTATACCTTGTTAATTAGATTTTATCAGTGATAATATCGTTGTTGTTGGTAAGCCTATACCTTGTTAATTAGATTTTATCAGTGATAATATCGTTGTTGTTGATAAGCCTATACCTTGTTAATTAGATTTTATCAGTGATAATATCGTTGTTGTTAATAAGCCCATACCTTGTTAATTAGATTTTATCAGTGATAATATCGTTGTTGTTGATAAGCCTATACCTTGTTAATTAGATTTTATCAGTGATAATATCGTTGTTGTTAATAAGCCTATACCTTGTTAATTAGATTTTATCAGTGATAATATCGTTGTTGTTGATAAGCCCATACCTTGTTAATCAGATTTTATCAGTGATAATACCATGGTTGTTTATAAGACCACACAAAGCCATAAAACTCCTTTTCCACCGGAAATCTGAAAAGAATTCATTGAACTAAGTAATTTTTAAAAAAAAAAAAAGAAATTTTTTTCCTCTTTTAGAAAAAACCAAATTACTGGGAAATGACAGTGTAGTATATAGAAGTATAAGCCACACCTGCAATTCTAGTAGAATTCATTTTCTTTTATTCCTAGATAATATCCTGTGCTTTTCAAATTTCACCACTACGTTAATTAAAGTCTGATTTCATTCTAGAGGATATTATGAAACCTTTGAAGTTCAAGTTTCTGTGTGTAATATCTGGTCTCCTCTAAAAACTCTCTTTATTTAATCTGAAATGGCCAGCGTGCACTTTTAAATTCAAGAATTTTCTACATTTCTACAGACAGTCAATCTTTAAACAAATAGTCTCAATTGAACCTGAAATAGACTTGTACTTTTAAAGTTGATTAAAACTTGGCAGTGTATTTTAACTGGATTATTACTAAGTTAGAGAAGTGTATGATCGGTAAATTTAAACCTTAATACGACATGTCTGCCATAAAGCCCACCTTTGTTTAAGATTTACAAATGAAGAATATTTCTTGATAAATTTTTCTCCACATCATTCCACATTTTTCTGATAAACAAGAGGACCATTGGGCTTGTACCACTCACCCGATTTGGTTTGGCTGAAAATGCTTTATTTAAACTTTATGGAAAAAAAAATTAAAGACTGTATATATATTTTTCCCACCTAGGCCCTGCCCCTCTGTTCCCATGGGGTCAAACCTATTGTTTATACAAAAGTAAGTTCCATTCACTCAAACATGCTTCCAACTAAATTGGTTGAAATATATCAATCCAAACAGAAAAAGAAATTTAAAGTTTTTTCCTCTTTTTCAACTACATGGCCCCTTCCCTTTGCCAAAGGGTGTCAGACCCAGTCTATACACAAGATTGTGTTCATTCTGTTCCTGTAAAGATGTTTCTGATCAAATTACCTCCGTCCAATTTTGTCCAGGGGTTGTGAAAGCCTACCTCTGTACAAAATTGAATTCACTTTGCCAAAGGATGTTTCAGCACAAACGTGGACAAAAATCAATCCTTCCTAAGAAAGACAGATTTTAACACATTTGCAAACATTCATTTTTCGCTCCCTAAAGGCAAAGAGATCAAACATTTTACAGAATAATTCTCCTTCACTTTTGAAAGTAGTAGTGTTGTTTTGTAAAAGTTGACAGACCTCGGCTACTGCAGTATAGTTTAAACTCTTCAATCCTTCAGGTGAGCTTAAAATTTACCACCTGGGCTGACATGAACATCAGGTGAGATAAACCGACTAAATAATATACCATATCTGTCCTGCTAAAAAACTGGGGTGGATGGAGTGTGGGGAGTGTTAAAGAAAGAATACAACATCATACTTTGTTTAGTGAGTCTTTAATACGATTTACATTCTAAAACCTGGAATGTTCTAGTTCTATCACAGCAACGAGTCTTACTAAACATTGCCCTAACTTAACATTGTAAAATAGGTAAAAAAATATTACTACATATGTAAATAGACCACTTGCAAAATGAGTCCTTCATTATAAAGGATAATATATTTTAAAGAATGCTGTTACATGGATTTCCATTAGTACATATTAAATATAAATCCCTTAATAAGGAATTCAATAAAATGGACGAAATGCTTTAATCTTCATGCAGTTACATTGATTTACCTGATTATAAAGAGACCTGTATTTAATTTCTACAGAAATAGCACTGAATTATTGAATCTATTTGCAATTCTATTTACAATTGGTTACAAATTACAGGTAATTTTAATGTTCATGCAAAACTGACAACAGAGAAACTTACATATCAATAAAGAAATTCACATATCAACAGAGAAATACAAGCAGTTGGCCAGCATGTGACAAAAAATATTCCTCTGGGTCAAAACTGCTCAAATACTGTTGTATTATTAAAAGTTAAAATATCATTTAATAAGACTTAGATCTATATTTGTGATTTTAAAGTCCATAACTGTTCTGTTGGAAAATATATATAACCTTACCTTTTTACAATGCTTCATGTATTCAGTAGATGAGTTGAATACATTTAATACCAATATAACGAGATATTTGAACAAAGCACCAATTTAAACAACATCAATTATTAATAATTTACCAAAAATATTAAAACATTGAGAAAAATAAAAAAAAAAAAAAAATGAAATCCTGTCTACATGAACAATGAAATGCAAACAGTTCTTTTTTTAATGCAAAAACACACAATTATAACAGCGCTCTACCAAAACGAACTCTCGTTAACCATAAACCACCAGAAAAATACAAACAACTACAAACAGGTCACAATATTTGTAATAAAACAGGACAAAACCTAACTTATTCAATTTATTACAGACACAAGGCACAATCTGGAGTGTACGAAATTATAATTATTAACACATTAATAATTAAAATCATTTCTATACAACCAGTCAAAGAATTCAATGTGATATTTATATGAGAAATAGTTTAAGACCATCTCCTAGTTATTGCATGCAATAAAATATTATCAAAATAGCATTATAACTTTGTATAACATCTACTATACATGTATTACTATAGGTTAAAGTCAACTGGTAAAGTAACACTTAATCACTTTGTTAAAGTCAAAAGTGAAATTCTAGTCCAAATAAACGAAGAATAATCAAGATTAACTGTTAGAATATTACCAGTCTAGGGTCAAAGGTCAAGATACAAATGGTCAAACTTTCAATATACAAGCCTTCAGGAGTTATTCCCCTTTGCATGTTGATTGCCATATCAAATACATATATTGGAATTTATTTGGTAGAAAACCATTTTTCCCTGGCATGTTGTTATTCCAGAAATCACTCTAGCTCTGTTACAGCTGGGAGTTCCATCACACTGGTTAATTCCTTCATGCTTCATGTAAGACATCATTTCAAAAAGGAAACATCAATGGAAACAGTCAATTTCATAAAACACAAGTCAGATGTGCATAACAAGAAATTTCCATAATTTCCATTCTCCTTTACACTGGTGTCATTACTAATGATATCTTGTGTAAGCTAATTTATCTCCTCGTTATCTCCTTGAGTTATGTCCCTTGTCTGATGATCAGTATGCAGTTTCCTTGGGACGACTACTGTCTAGCTGTAATTTCTCCAGCTGTATGATAGTACTTTCATTGTCTAACTCTAGTTCATTCATCAACTGTTCTGCAATCCTACTCCGCAGTCGACTGTGCACCTAAAATTTGACAAAAATTTAAAGATTAGATTTTTTAAAAAGTACCATCATTATTAGAAGTTTTTTTGGTATCTACAATAAATTCATGAGATAGTGGGTGGGAACAGGAAGTGGACATTTTTGCCATTATGATAAGTTATTAGGTATTATCACTGTTACAGTAATTAGATATGGACATGCTAATCTTATGGAGAGTCATGCAAGGGAACACATCATAAGATAAAAAGATAATCCTACATTGCAACATATCAGTACAAAGGGTTGTATCATCAGGTTTAGAATATGCGTAAAAAAACATAAATTATCTTATGATATGAAAATGGTGGCCTCCCACCCTTAATTCAGACCCTCCCACCCTTAATTCAGACCCTCCCACCCTTAATTCAGACCCTCCATGTGTCCAATCTTAGGTGTTCCCTCACCATCCAAAGAACCCATTACAAGTGATAGTAAGATAATTTTTCCCTTTTGGAAGATTTATTTGCTACGAGAACTATTTCCATCATGTATTTAAACTCTGAGCATGATTTACAAGCTTAAACATAAATATGAATTTTTAACCAAACTTCAAACATTGAATGAGAAACAACAAAAACATTAACACCTAAATTTAAAACAAAACTTCATGTAAATGAAGAATTGAACACTAAATAACTGGTTAACTTACTCTCGATCAACTACAGACATGCCTGAAATTTCAGTGACCAAAAAAGATTCTATAAATAAACTTAATCATACTCTGATATTGATTAGTACCTTGTTTCATCCATTCCTAAAAGTTGGTGGTAGTAGTTGAAACACACAAAGAATGTTTGAAACAGTATTATTTGTGATTTTTGGTAAAGTGAAAGCAAAAACACTTCAATTGTTAACATTATCAACATAAGGAAAGAATTTGTTAATGGCAGAAAACAGGAAACATTGGAGATTCTGTTTTTCACTCTAGATATAGAGGAACAAGATTGTTCCTTGATCAACTCTCAACAGATATATACATGACCTTAGCTAATTTAAGGTCGTCAATATAATATTGGTTTTTTTCCAAAACATGAAATATAAGAGAACAAGATGCTCAATGGGCCTGTATTGCTCACCTGTCACTCTATGTTGCTAACAAACACATTTTATAATCGAGATCTACAATGTGGGTGAAGGTCATATTTATTTAACAACTATTGCTGGTCAAGATTATATTTTTCAAATGTTATTTTTGAAAGAATGTATGAATCATATTTCGATGCCTTTTTGGTATTTGGAAGATGTCTGAACAAATTTGACCCCTGTTAAATGAATACAGGTCAAGGCTATTCAAGGTCAAAAATTGGTAGCCTTTCATGCAAGCATGCTACTGGCTAAATCTCACTTCTTGGTTATTGAGCACTAAGTGGCTTTGTAAAGAATTTAACATATATGACACATATGACCTTGAAAGAAGGTCAAGGTCATTCATTTAAACACATTTCATAGCCCTTTATCCAAGCATGCTACATTTTCATTATAAGTAGTACCCTTGGCCTCTTGGTTACTGAGAGGAACTTGTTTAAAGCAAAAAAGCTGATGCTATTTGGACAACTGATGCTACACCATGGCGTAAGCTTGCTCGCCCTTCGGGTAGTTAAACTAATAAACACAAAACACTGCCTAGTCTTGGTTATTTATAATGTTTGTTAAAATCGGGAAAAACATTTGTTGATCCAAAATAGTTCTTTCATTTCATGATTTGGATAAAACGAATATTATTCAGCAGTATATTATATATAGATATGTACATGTATATGAAAATACCCGAGTCAATGAAAAGCTAGATTTACACATGAATGTAAACATTACTTCTAATGAGGTGAATATCGGTATTAATTAACCCAAGTTTTAAGGCATAAACAAATATATATATATACTCAAGAGGTCAATAGATGATCCATCTGAGTAAATCAAATTTTGAAATGGAATTTGAACCAAAGTAAATCAAGTTTGATAATTAAATGATAATATATGTATTTTGCGATTACAAAAACAAAGAAAAGTAATTTTACAAGAACAATTTCAAATTTTCTGATGAAATGAAAAGTGAATTCCACATACAACTTTCATGTAAAATATTAGACACATATTGTATATGTATCTGTGATCTACAATAGGGTACCATGCATACATATAAAATATACATGTACATGCATATAGATAGATAAATATGCAAAATCATTCCATATTCCCACACATCATAAATATCACACATCACACTAGGTGAAACCATACCACTTGTTTCATGTACGACTATTTAAAAAAAAAGACAACCAGAGTCGTATAAGAATTTGAATATAAATATAATTTTTTTAACACTAATAAATACCAAAACTTGCTTCTACGGTAGTTCATAAATAATACAAAATAGAAAATATGCTATTAAGAGATAACCTAAAACTTCTAAGTATTCATGAAAATTAGATTGTATTTAATATACGTTTTTATTGATGCTATTTTAATCTGTACCTGCTGAAATAAGACAAATGAAAATTTTACTTAGTTTACAGTTTTTGTGGTAGAATTCAGATTTATAATTTCAATGATAATACAGATTATTTACAGTTTTTGTGGTAGAATTCAGATTTATAATTTCAATGATAATACAGATTATTTACAGTTTTTGTGGTAGAATTCAGATTTATAATTTCAATGATAATACAGATTATTTACAGTTTTTGTGGTAGAATTCAGATTTATAATTTCAATGATAATACAGATTATTTACAGTTTTTGTGATAGAATTCAGATTTATAATTTCAATGATAATACAGATTATTTACAGTTTTTGTGATAGAATTCAGATTTATAATTTCAATGATAATACAGATTATTTACAGTTTTTGTGGTAGAATTCAGATTTATAATTTCAATGATAATACAGATTATTTACAGTTTTTGTGGTAGAATTCAGATTTATAATTTCAATGATAATACAGATTATTTACAGTTTTTGTGGTAGAATTCAGATTTATAATTTCAATGATAATACAGATTATTTACAGTTTTTTGTGGTAGAATTCAGATTTATAATTTCAATGATAATACAAATTATTTACAGTTTTTGTGGTTGAATTCAGATTTATAATTTCAATGATAATACAGATTATTTACAGTTTTTGTGGTAGAATTCAGATTTATAATTTCAATGATAATACAGATTATTTACAGTTTTTTGTGGTAGAATTCAGATTTATAATTTCAATGATAATACAGATTATTTACAGTTTTTGTGGTAGAATTCAGATTTATAATTTCAATGATAATACAGATTATTTACAGTTTTTGTGGTAGAAATCAGATTTATAATTTCAATGATAATACAGATTATTTACAGTTTTTGTGGTAGAAATCAGATTTATAATTTCAATGATAATACAGATTATTTACAGTTTTGGGTCGCTGTATAGGCTTCTTGTCGAGGTTGTTGTGGTCAAGCGTGGAGGGTGGGACAGCGGTCAAGCTCCTGTGACCCGCAGGCCAGGAGACAGGTGGAGGCCAGACCCCGGAGGATGTGGGAGTTCCACGACTGGACATCCGACTCCGTGCTGTTCCGTAGGCAGACTGAGCTCGTTTGGAGTTATTGGACTTGACTGTTAACAAAAATCAAAGGAATGATAATTTCTTTACTTTCAGCTGTAATACTTACTATAACTAATTATACACAATAATCTTCATCTTGATAACGGGTAATAATTTGTCTTTTTTAATATTCTGGAAAAGACATAAATATACAATGTGTTAGAGACAGGGATCAGACAGGAGTCAGTCTAAATATACATTATCACAAAAAACTTCTAACAATGAGTAAGTATAAGTTTGATTACCAACCAACAAATCAAAAATCAAACTTCAACATTAAGTCTGAAATTTACTGTATAATTCATAGAAGTTACGTAAGTGTGAATTTAGTAGAGAGATTATGTAGCAAAATATTTAATTGACACAATATTCCCTGAACATGTACAACCAAAAACACAGAAATTTTAAAATATCCCTTTAAATTCCAACAGATTTTGACCAAAGGATACAAAGATGGTTTAAGTATACAGTAACTGACCTGTTTGGGCAGGAGAAAGAGGCCGTGTTGTAATGGCAGACTGTGTCCTGGTCATAAAGGCAGATTCCATATCGTATACCTAAAAATCATAATACAAAAAATACATATTTTAGTCAATAGTTCTGATAAAAAAATACTCTTATTATCAAAATCCTTGGAAAAAAGTATGATTACGCAGCATAAATTAGTCAAAAAGAATTTTCACATACAACAAGAATCGAATGGCCTTGTTGGAAATCAGCTACTGTTGAAATTCAATACTGAAAGCAAACTGGAAAATTGGAAAATGGCAGTAAAATATTTGTACCAGAAAACAAAAAAATTATTATGATTATTATAACCGTGTTTTGAAATTTTTTAAGATTTCTGTTAATGATAATTAATTTATTGGGAAAGTGCTGTCATTTTTTCCTATCAATGAGCACTGAAACCTCACACAAGACACATCACACAGTTCTATCCCTTGCGAAGAGGATAGATGACACTTTATTTGAGTCTATAAATTTTTTGCATTTCACTAAAATCAACAATTTCAAATTATATTTACATGAGTCTGGAGTTCATCGACACGGTTGAAGGCATCCAGTTTAAGCCCACGTTCATGGTTGAGCTGTTTCTTGATGCAGTCCACATCCTTGCGTACTTTTTCCTGTTGGATGATCTGGAACTTCTGGTTTTTATCCTGGACGTCTAACATTGTCTTTAGCCTTGTGTCCTTGTAGTCCAACTCCTCTATCTGTAGATACATTGATAAAATCATTTCTCTAAGAATCTTCATACAAATTTTCGGTAAAAAAATCTCTGAATCTTTTCTGTCACATTTTTTCCAACTGTACTCAAAATTTTATTACAAAATTATTTTCCTAAGTGAGATGAGAAATAAATGAGCCGTTATAGGCAGATTTTTTTCTTGAAATTTTCTGCTTGAAGTTGTACAAGTACATAGATGGTAAACTAGACAATATAAATGGTACTTACAAAAGTTTTATATTCAAAGATTGGACATTTAATCACACTGTGATCTTTACTCATTAGATAAGACTTTAATTTTCAAAATCAGTCACTAACTTCAACATGACTCCTGAACAAATATCATACTCTTGGCTTCATAAACATGTCCTCCGACTTCAACATCAAACTCACCAGTTTCTCTATGTTTGCTTGCTTGGCCATTTCTAGCTGTTTCTGACTTGCTGCTCGCTGCATTTCTTCATGTGTCTTCTCCAATTTCTCCTTCAACTATACAAACAAAACAGAAAAACAGAATGTATTTGAGTATGTGGACTACTTAAAATTCATAACTCTATACTGTAATTCACAGCAATTTCAATTTCCTTCCTCTCTCAAATACTAAGTGTTCCAAGTGACCAGTGATCCACTATCTCTGTCATATTGTGAGTATTCCATTAAAAGTACACCTATCCATCTTAAGATTACTTCCCAGTTTGATGTTACTCATTTATACAGCAGGTTAGAATAGAACACTCACAATTGAATAGTGTAACAAATTTGACTCTCAATGTGAACTTTTTTGAAGGAGAACATTCTTTTGAACACTGATGTTTTCTTCTAACGTACCTCTTTGTCAAGCTGTTTACGTATTTCACTACATTCTTTTTCTGTAGAGGTGAGAGCCTTTCTGATAGCAGACAGCTGTTGCCGGAGTAAAATCACTTTCTCATCTGCTTTCATCTTAATTTGGACATATTCTTTCTTACTCTGGTTAGCATCCATCTTCAGTTTGTTTATCTGTCAAAATTTAAACAGAAAAAACTGTCATGAAAAAAAAATGTTGACAACAAAATCAAACTTTTTATTTGATAATACACAGATTAATCTCTAAACATAAAGCACATTCTATGTCTTGTCATTTATGTACAAGTGAAGAGCTTGGATTTTAGATTTGTTTTAAAAACGAACTAGAATTAGGATTGAATAATTGGAAATTGTCAATGGCCCCAATTTTGACTTCTCAACCCAAATATACAAGAACATAAAATTGACAAGTAAAAACATTACCAGGTTGGTGTGATTTTGAGTTGGAGCAGACTTACTGTTTTAACAAAGCCCAGGTTGGTGTGATTTTGTCTCCAGTTGTTCATTGCTTTGATCTTGAGGACCAAGACGTTCAGATTATGGTTCTCGTTCTTCAGCTCTCGTATCTGTTCAGACTTGGCAAGGTTTCTCTGGATCAGTTCTTCATCTTCACAAGTATAATAAATAAATAAGGCATCAGGCAACATTTGAGTTTGGTGATAAAAAGGAAAGAACAGACAAATATATATGAAATGAAGCTTTCATTAGTATAACAACAAAATAGCAATACATGATACATATATTACACTTTGTATGACAAAACAAATGATTATGAAATCAACACAACATACTTTTGTATGTGAAATTGTTAATTTAATTAAGTGATCACATTTATCAATCTTGCTTAGCTGTTTTGATAAAATCACTGGGGTTTAGTGTCTACAAATTATCTCTTACATCAATAGCTCTCTATCTGAAATAAAAAGGCACTTAAACCAAAATAAAACAGAAACTCAAAACATGAAACTGACATCTATCACATCTAAAAATATCTAACTATTTGAAAATGTCATATCCAAGAAATTCTAAAAAAAAACCATTTCTACCTATCTAATCGTCTAATTGTTTTGTCTGTCAATTTAAGTAAAGCTGTTTCACAAAATAGATATCACACAATTGAACAACCCTCATTATCCCCCTTGACAGAAAACAGGTATGGAAGTAATTAGCCAATCAGAACCAAGGGCCCAGTAATGAATTTAACCTTTCCAGGATAATTCTAACCTGTAAAAATTTTCAGCGTTTGTCGGTCAATAGGTCACACAGATTACTAATGCTACCCTGAAATGCTAAATATATTGAACGGAACTTGTAACTAGTAAGCAAAATGCCACAAAAATGCAATGAATGCTCTTCATAGCAATATTCAATCTAACATGCCAAGAAATATGCTATTTACCAGTACTTCAACTGAAACAGGGACACTTTGGACAGCATATACAGGACTACAAGGTGTCATGATACCAACCTTCAGTTAGAAGACTTTTTGTTATAATTTTGTATACTACAGAGTATTTTGAATGATTTTAGACTCTAGGTAGTAACATGTATATTTTAGACATAGAATCACTCAAACCCATGGGCACTTGTAAAAGCATTGATTAATTTTCATCTATTGTTTATTTCTAACAACATTTCAAACAAATTTAAAACAGATACAACGTGTTTGATTTCTGTCACCAACAAAAGATTACTTATCTGAATGCTTTAGTTTGTAATTGTTCGGGTATTATAAAAAAAGATAAATTATATGTAGATTTACAGTTTTGCCTACATGTATTCAATTAATATTAGTGCCTAATTCAAAAATTTGCTTTTTTCATCTTCAATAACCCCAAGGAGCCATTACACATACCTGGGAAACTTTGACTCAAAAGCATGGGGTGGGCTTTTTACAGGACAATGATTTGGGAATTTTTATATGGGTGGGCTTATTACCGAATATAGACTTCTTTATGGATAAATACTGTGCAGAACATTTAATTCAGCTTATTAGCATGTTTTCTCCTACTTAATATATCAACAATGACCTAAAATTAACAAAAACTATTCTTTACCAACAGTGAAGAGAGTGAACAGGATATTTTCTCTAAATCTTCGTGTCTAAATCTAAGTCAAGTCACTAAGTATGATTTTGTATGGATGGTATGATGGACGAGATAGTGTAGTTGTAGGAATTGCTGGCCAAGGGTGTATACAGAAAGTCACACCTGTGCTGTCACACAAAAAGAATCCCATAATACTATTTCAAAAGGCATAAACTGGAAATAGCAAAAAAAAAAAAAATTAAAAAAAACAGAAGCAACTTCTTAACAATGTTACTTACATTCTGGTTGTTTTAAGCCTTAAACATTGAAAGAGTTCCGTAAGAAAAATAGGAAAATTGTTCTTGAAAATAATGCACATTGAAATATATATATTGATTCAACAAAGGCCTGAGATCTTTTCATAAATTTGAACATTGACCCATCTACTGGCAAAAAGCATCTATCTGTTGAACATTTGGCCAACCTGCTGGAAAAAAATCATTTATATGTTGCTAAATGTTGAACATTTGACCTATCCACTGGTTGTTTGTCTGTTTGTTTGTTTGTTTTCAACTTTAACCTTGGTCTTAACTATTGCACCATAAGAGACAAGGCTTTCATATTTGGCATGTTTCCAGAGGTACCAAACTTTTTCATCATGTGACCTTGACAGTGACCTTTGATCTACATTTGTAAAAAAAATTAACATTGGCCATAACTATTGCACCATAAGGGGTAGGGCTTTCATAATTAGCATGTGCGGCACATTTAAGAATTTTGAAGCAACCAGGGACATAGTGTTTCATAAATATGTGTTGTTGTTTATGTAGAGGTGAATTTATTGTTTGAAGTAGAGGAAACAATTGAACATGAATACAGAACAGCACACACACACAAAATTAATGATCAGTAGGATAAAAATTTGGCTGAGAATAATTTTTATGCTGCAAAGGAAAGACATAAAATAAATTATTTCACTTTTCACAACTTCAAATCAAACAATTACAATAGTTGTCCATTGCAGATGAAATGGTTAACACATGATATTTCCCTTTTTGTGCATAGATCAGAAAATTGTTATATATTGTTTCAAACAGAATACTCACCAATAATTACATAGATATGACATCAATTCACAAATATGTATTGATATCACAACAATATTTCAGTAATGAATGGAATAACACAATCCTAGAGGTTGTCTCAAAGTCATAAATTATTCTTTATCTTCCCCCGAGAGAAAGTTGTTTAATTCACCAAATAAACACGATAATTACATCAATCTGAATGAACTACTAAATTAATAATAACTTTGAAATAATATTTGAATCATTTTCAGTTACCATGCCTCGAAATTTAAAAAAAAAGTCAGTATAAAGTGCATTGTCACTGAACTTACAATAGTTCTGTCAGCATTTACAGTGCTTATCAATGATAACTAATATAAATGGCCAAATAGCATTGAGTTAGTAGCAATAAACATCCAGAGATGAAATACAGACTCATTCTCATTCATAAATTGTGGTCATGTTATTCATGAGGTAATCTTGGTTTTCCTAAACATAAAATACATGTTGGTACATTATAGGCCTATGTAACCTCGAGAGGTTTCTGAATGCATGATTCAACCCTCCCTTCCAGTGGGAGTTTGTGTTTCATGATGGGAGCTGAGAAATGGACCATTGTGCTGTCATAGTTGTGTCCGTAAACATAGAAACTGACTATAAAAATACTGTAAACATTGAAACTGACTGTAAAAATACCGTAAACATAGAAACTGACTGTAAAAATACCGTAAACATAGAAAATGACTGTAAAAATACCGTAAACATAGAAACTGACTGTAAAAATACCGTAAACATAGAAACTGACTGTAAAAATACCGTAAACATAGAAACTGACTGTAAAAATACCGTAAACATAGAAACTGACTGTAAAGATACCGTAAACATAGAAACTGACTGTAAAAATACCGTAAACATAGAAACTGGCTGTACAAATACTGTAAACATAGAAACTGGCAGTAAAGATACTGTAAACATAGAAACTGACTGTAAAATACTGTAAACATAGAAACTGACTGTAAAAATACTGTAAACATAGAAACTGATTGTAAAAATACTGTAAATATAGAAACTGGCAGTAAAGATACTGTAAACATAGAAAATGTTATTCATGAGGTAATCTTGGTTTTCCTAAACATAAAATACATGTTGGTACATTATAGGCCTATGTAACCTCGAGAGGTTTCTGAATGCATGATTCAACCCTCCCTTCCAGTGGGAGTTTGTGTTTCATGATGGGAGCTGAGAAATGGACCATTGTGCTGTCATAGTTGTGTCCTCAGGTAAGGCACTCTAATCTCCTTGCTCTGGATGGCATACAATAGGCCTTATTTATGTTTTTTCAGTAAAATATCCAACAACTACCACAAGGAAACGCCCACCTCAAAATGTTAAAATGATCCTGGGTGTTCATGGTGCTATGAACCCAACAAACAAACAGATGTGTTTTAATCATTATACACTGAATTTATCATGTTATTTTCTCAGATGCTGAGGTGAAGTATAAATGATTTGAAAGTACTACATAGTTGTTTTCTGTAACTAACAAACAAAATGGAGAAATAAAAAGATAGAAAGGATGATGGAATGACATAAACAAAGGCTGGTCTTGAGGGGGAGAGAGAGGCAGGGAGGGAGAGAGAGACAGGGAGAGAGGCAGGGAGGGAGGGAGAGGGAGAGAGAGAGACAGGGAGGGAGAGAGAGAATTGACAAATACAGAAACAATTATTTCATAAAAAGAAAATAATTCACTAGTATTAAATGAGATCATCATATCATATTTATATCTGTGATGGGGTGATGGGTATGTGTTAATCACACATACTGAACTGTAAAAATTATGTGGTTAAAAAAGATTTTTTTGGTTTAACATATTTATACAAATCAGAAAGACACTCCACAACTTCCTAGTTCCATAACATTCAAAAAGATCATCCTCAATTCACTACAAATGAGTGACCTACACAGCTGCATAACAACAAAACAAGACATCAAAGTATTATTCACAGTAAAGCATTTTTCACAGAAGATCAGATCAAACAGGACAGAAGGGAGGTAACTCTTACCTGCATCTGCCATTGATTTTTGTTTGACACTCTCCATGGCCCTGAGTGTTTCTCGTCGTGTATCTGTGATCATATCATTCACGTCATCATGTAACTCGTGCCTGAAAATAAAGTCAAGTAATATATAATATCTAACGTAATTTTGAATTCCATTTTAAAACATCTCTAGGTGTGAAGATTAGATGGTAAGCTAAGAACAGGTCAAAGCTAAAAATAGCTACATATCAAACTTCAAAATTCATTTTGATTTTTTCTTCTATCTTTTTCATTTCTAAAAGAATTTAAATAAACATGTTAAAAAAAATATAATGAAGGTACGATTAATATGTTTCAAAAACTTTTGAAAGAAATCTTATAAAGTTTGTCTGTCATACCTGAACTCGTCAAACTTTGCCTTGATGTGATCACATAGTTCCATCATGTTCCCAATGAGGTCGTTGTATTCCTTCTTCACTTTGTCTCGTATCTCTGCCTCCTGATTCAGTGTTGTCGTTCGCATCTCATAGATCTTGGCTCGCAGGGCAGTGATTTCTGTAGGTAGTATAAGTGATCTTACAACACAGACCAGCACAATCATTTTATTACACAATCTTCTGAGGTTCTTATCTGTTGTTTATACTTTAACAACATCAAAACAAAACATTAATTCCTTACAAGAGATGTGCCACATGGTTATTTAAGATCAACGGATGTTGTTCTGGTATGCCATGGTCAGAAAACCCTACCCAATGACATATCATGTGCCTGTGCAGCTAGGTCACACTGGACCTCCACCTGAATGTTGTTCTGGTACAACTTGACAAGGAAACCTACCCATCAACATATCATGTGCCTGTGTAGCTAGATCAGACTGGACTTCCACTTGGATGTTGTTCTGGTACAACTTGATCTGGTCCTTAAGTTGCTTCACTTCCTGTTCCTTCTGGTAAAGCAGCTGGTGATGCACCTTCATCAGGTTCTCATAATACATTGTGTAGCTGTAAACATTGAAACATGTTGGAAAAATACTGTAAACATAGAAACTGACCATAAAAATACTGTAAACATAGAAACTGACTGTAAAAATACCGTAAACATAGAAACTGGCTATAAAAATACCGTAAACATAGAAACTGACTGTAAAAATACCGTAAACATAGAAACTGACTGTAAAAATACTGTAAACATAGAAACTGGCTCTAAAAATACTGTAAACATAGAAACTGACTATAAAAATACTGTAAACATTGAAACTGACTATAAAAATACCGTAAACATAGAAACTGACTATAAAAATACCGTAAACATAGAAACTGGCAGTAAAGATACTGTAATCATAGAAACTGACTGTAAAAATACTTTAAACATAGAAACTGACTGTAAAAATACCGTAAACATAGAAACTGACTGTAAAAATACCGTAAACATAGAAACTGACTGTAAAAATACCGTAAACATAGAAACTGACTGTAAAAATACCGTAAACATAGAAACTGACTGTAAAGATACTGTAAATATAGAAACTGACTGTAAAAATACTGTAAACATAGAAACTGGCTGTACAAATACTGTAAACATAGAAACTGGCAGTAAAGATACTGTAAACATAGAAACTGACTGTAAAATACTGTAAACATAGAAACTGACTGTAAAAATACTGTAAACATAGAAACTGATTGTAAAAATACTGTAAATATAGAAACTGGCAGTAAAGATACTGTAAACATAGAAAATGACAGTTAAGATACTGTAAACATAGAAACTGGCAGTAAAGATACTGTAAACATAGAAACTGACTGTAAAAATACCGTAAACATAGAAACTGACTATAAAAATACTGTAAACATTGAAACTGACTGTAAAAATACCGTAAACATAGAAACTGACTGTAAAAATACCGTAAACATAGAAAATGACTGTAAAAATACCGTAAACATAGAAACTGACTGTAAAAATACCGTAAACATAGAAACTGACTGTAAAAATACCGTAAACATAGAAACTGACTGTAAAAATACCGTAAACATAGAAACTGACTGTAAAGATACCGTAAACATAGAAACTGACTGTAAAAATACCGTAAACATAGAAACTGGCTGTACAAATACTGTAAACATAGAAACTGGCAGTAAAGATACTGTAAACATAGAAACTGACTGTAAAATACTGTAAACATAGAAACTGACTGTAAAAATACTGTAAACATAGAAACTGATTGTAAAAATACTGTAAATATAGAAACTGGCAGTAAAGATACTGTAAACATAGAAAATGACAGTTAAGATACTGTAAACATAGAAACTGGCAGTAAAGATACTGTAAACATAGAAACTGACTGTAAAATACTGTAAACATAGAAACTGACTGTAAAATACTGTAAACATAGAAACTGACTGTAAAAATACTGTAAACATAGAAACTGGCTGTACAAATACTGTAAACATAGAAACTGGCAGTAAAGATACTGTAAACATAGAAACTGACTGTAAAATACTGTAAACATAGAAACTGGCTATAAAAATACTGTACACATAGAAACTGACTGTAAAAATACTGTAAACATAGAAACTGACTGTAAAATACTGTAAACATAGAAACTGACTGTAAAATACTGTAAACATAGAAACTGGCTGTAAAATACTGTAAACATTGAAACTGGCTGTAAAATACTGTAAACATAGAAACTGACTGTAAAATACTGTAAACATAGAAACTGACTGTAAAAATACTGTAAACATAGAAACTGGCTGTAAAATACTGTAAACATAGAAACTGGCTGTAAAATACTGTAAACATTGAAACTGACTGTAAAAATACTGTAAACATAGAAACTGACTGTAAAAATACTGTAAACAAAGAAACTGGCTGTACAAATACTGTAAATATAGAAACTGGCTATAAAAATACCGTAAACATAGAAACTGACTGTAAAAATACCGTAAACATAGAAACTGACTGTAAAAATACTGTAAACATAGAAACTGGCTGTACAAATACTGTAAACATAGAAACTGACTATAAAAATACTGTAAACATTGAAACTGACTATAAAAATACCGTAAACATAGAAACTGACTATAAAAATACCGTAAACATAGAAACTGACTGTAAAAATACTGTAAACATAGAAACTGGCTCTAAAAATACTGTAAACATAGAAACTGACTATAAAAATACTGTAAACATTGAAACTGACTATAAAAATACCGTAAACATAGAAACTGACTATAAAAATACCGTAAACATAGAAACTGGCAGTAAAGATACTGTAATCATAGAAACTGACTGTAAAAATACTTTAAACATAGAAACTGACTGTAAAAATACCGTAAACATAGAAACTGACTATAAAAATACCGTAAACATAGAAACTGACTGTAAAAATACCGTAAACATAGAAACTGACTGTAAAAATACCGTAAACATAGAAACTGACTGTAAAAATACCGTAAACATAGAAACTGACTGTAAAGATACTGTAAACATAGAAACTGACTGTAAAAATACTGTAAACATAGAAACTGGCTGTACAAATACTGTAAACATAGAAACTGGCAGTAAAGATACTGTAAACATAGAAACTGACTGTAAAATACTGTAAACATAGAAACTGACTGTAAAAATACTGTAAACATAGAAACTGATTGTAAAAATACTGTAAATATAGAAACTGGCAGTAAAGATACTGTAAACATAGAAAATGACAGTTAAGATACTGTAAACAAAGAAACTGGCAGTAAAGATACTGTAAACATAGAAACTGACTGTAAAAATACTGTAAACATAGAAACTGACTATAAAAATACTGTAAACATTGAAACTGACTATAAAAATACCGTAAACATAGAAACTGACTATAAAAATACCGTAAACATAGAAACTGGCAGTAAAGATACTGTAATCATAGAAACTGACTGTAAAAATACTTTAAACATAGAAACTGACTGTAAAAATACCGTAAACATAGAAACTGACTATAAAAATACCGTAAACATAGAAACTGACTATAAAAATACCGTAAACATAGAAACTGACTGTAAAAATACCGTAAACATAGAAACTGACTGTAAAAATACCGTAAACATAGAAACTGACTGTAAAAATACCGTAAACATAGAAACTGACTGTAAAGATACCGTAAACATAGAAACTGACTGTAAAGATACTGTAAACATAGAAACTGACTGTAAAAATACTGTAAACATAGAAACTGGCAGTAAAGATACTGTAAACATAGAAACTGACTGTAAAATACTGTAAACATAGAAACTGACTGTAAAAATACTGTAAACATAGAAACTGATTGTAAAAATACTGTAAATATAGAAACTGGCAGTAAAGATACTGTAAACATAGAAAATGACAGTTAAGATACTGTAAACATAGAAACTGGCAGTAAAGATACTGTAAACATAGAAACTGACTGTAAAATACTGTAAACATAGAAACTGACTGTAAAAATACTGTTAACATAGAAACTGACTGTAAAATACTGTAAACATAGAAACTGACTGTAAAATACTGTAAACATAGAAACTGACTGTAAAAATACTGTAAACATAGAAACTGGCTGTACAAATACTGTAAACATAGAAACTGGCAGTAAAGATACTGTAAACATAGAAACTGACTGTAAAATACTGTAAACATAGAAACTGACTATAAAAATACTGTAAACATAGAAACTGACTGTAAAAATACTGTAAACATAGAAACTGACTGTAAAATACTGTAAACATAGAAACTGACTGTAAAATACTGTAAACATAGAAACTGGCTGTAAAATACTGTAAACATAGAAACTGACTGTAAAATACTGTAAACATAGAAACTGACTGTAAAAATACTGTAAACATAGAAACTGGCTGTAAAATACTGTAAACATAGAAACTGGCTGTAAAATACTGTAAACATTGAAACTGACTGTAAAAATACTGTAAACATAGAAACTGACTGTAAAAATACTGTAAACAAAGAAACTGGCTGTACAAATACTGTAAACATAGAAACTGGCAGTAAAGATACTGTAAACATAGAAACTGACTGTAAAATACTGTAAACATAGAAACTGACTGTAAAAATACTGTAAACATAGAAACTGATTGTAAAAATACTGTAAACATAGAAACTGGCAGTAAAGATACTGTAAACATAGAAAATGACAGTAAAGATACTGTAAACATAGAAACTGGCAGTAAAGATACTGTAAACATAGAAACTGACTGTAAAATACTGTAAACATAGAAACTGACTGTAAAAATACTGTAAACATAGAAACTGACTGTAAAATACTGTAAACATAGAAACTGACTGTAAAATACTGTTAACATAGAAACTGACTGTAAAAATACTGTAAACATAGAAACTGACTGTAAAAATATTGTAAACATAGAAACTGACTGTAAAATACTGTAAACATAGAAACTGACTGTAAAATACTGTAAACATAGAAACTGGCTATAAAAATACTGTAAACATAGAAACTGACTGTAAAAATACTGTAAACATAGAAACTGACTGTAAAATACTGTAAACATAGAAACTGACTGTAAAATACTGTAAACATAGAAACTGGCTGTAAAATACTGTAAACATAGAAACTGTCTGTAAAATACTGTAAACATAGAAACTGACTGTAAAATACTGTAAACATAGAAACTGACTGTAAAAATACTGTAAACATAGAAACTGGCTGTAAAATACTGTAAACATAGAAATTGGCTGTAAAATACTGTAAACATTGAAACTGACTGTAAAAATACTGTAAAAAAAACTACAAATCGAAAAACTAACTGAAAAAGATATTTTCTGATTTCTTGAAGAAGGTCGTATTTATGAAATTCAACAGATGATCTTCTGCATGACAGAACACTTAAAACTTTGGTATTTTTTTTTTTTTTTGGTATGTTAGCATTTTTCTAACATAATTTACAACCAATGAAATATATTCCTATACAAATAACAAGCATTGTTTACCTTTCAAAGTTGCTCTTCTCTCGCCCCATTACTTGTGAGGCCAGCTCCATGATACAGCTGTTGAGGTGATCTGAGGAGAAAGTTATCTCCCCTCCTTCCCCTTCTTTGGCATTCGACATAAGTAAGTCAACAAAGTTCTCCGTTAAATGAGGTTTGTTGATAGTAAAACTCTCCTTCATTGCCTGTGATCAAATGAACAAATGTATGTTATGATAACGAGGCGTGTTGATCAAGTTATAATGTGAATTGTAGCATATTACAGTTATAGTTTTCTAGTGATGTTTCTGAGATTCTACAGTTGAATACATAAGGATGTAATGATAAGATTAAAGTAAATTTGATAAAAAATCTCTCCGATTTAAAAGTTATCAAAATAGTATGAAAATTATTTTTTTCCAAAAGCTGCTAAACAAAATCATCACTGATTTTCAAACCAAGAAAATGTACTGTATTGTTAGTGTCAAGTAGAGATTACTAATTAGTGTTTCTTACAGGACGTTTCCACAGATCTGTTGACAACGCAGACTCCTCCCGCGCTCTTTCTGCAGTGACAAGAGTCATCTCCCTTGCAATCTTCTTCCGGATCTCCATGATTTGATGACATTCAAATGTTTCCAGCAACTTGATCAGCTGTAAAATAAAATGAAACCAAATTCCCCTAACATCTACAGATAAGAACCAGCCAACTTTTAACTTGTCCCAGTACAACAGGGACCAGGTGATTATTCAGCAAAAGGTGTAAACTAGTCAATTCAATAACCTTTATCTTTCTATACAAATTGAACGCAGGATACTCAAATTATAAACTTTGATAATAAAACACCTGAATACTGATGCTGAATACCATCAAACACCATCAGACATATGATCAGTGTGGAGAGTTTTAGCACACTGATGTACACAGAGTATGAGATGTTAAGAGATTAACAAACTTTTTAAAACATATTTAAACATCATTCCTGGGATAAGATTTAAATGAAAGCTCTACTACACCAACAAACTGTGCACTCACCTGTTTAGACCTGACCTCAATTTCAGATGCCCCTTTTGGCATGACAAGTGGATCTGTGTCCAAGGCGATGCCTTCATACATTTCACCTTGTCCAAGACGACGAGCAATGCTGGTCAGTACTGGCATAAGAATCTCTGTCTTATACAGTTTACTGTAAAAACAAGAAATTTGTCACTCCTCTGTGTGTTTACTTTCTTTCATAATCATTTAAGAAGGTGATTTACTTTATACATCTTTCCTTTGTAAAATCTGTTTCTGGTAGAATCTTTCAATTTCATCAACATTCTCTAAAGAAGGTATTGGTATGGAGTGACAATATTTGGCCTGAAATTTTAAGAGCTAATAAAGTTCAAACAGATGTCATTCATTGCCACTGCTACAAAATGTGTGAAAATCATTTCACAAGACAATTTCTCTTATATGAATGAAGTGACTGATATTTAGTGGGGTGAGAATTTCTCTTTTAAACATACTTTTATTTGACATCCATCTGTTAATACAAAACTTGATCTCATTATTAAATTGCCATAAATGACTTACCAGAACTCTTTGAATAAAGGCGGTTTCTCTATCTTCTCAACTTGCAGACGCCATTTTCCCCAGTCAAACTTAAGGAACTCCAGACATTTCCATTGCATGAGGAAGAACTTCAGCAGACGGTATGCCTCTATTGGCTGTTGAGTCCGAGAAAGACTTTTGCTTCCAGTGGCTGTGTCAAAGGTAAAAGTTCAAATATCACTGTCTAAGTAATGAATGACTCGAGCAATTTTGAACAGATATGTTTTTGTGGTACAGGGCAGTTTTGGTTTTCTTGTGACACTTACCTACTACTGCGACAACACCCTCCTGTGGATCTTTATGTACATCTGTACGACTTGTGGCACGTGACCCTGTCCTTGAGCCTCCTTGTGACCCTGATCCCTCTTTCTTACTGGCTTTTGACTCGGCATCCTCAGCCTCTACAAGAGATGATGGGTCCTCGTAGCCCGACTGTAAAGCATCTTCCATCAACAGTGTTACACCCAGGATCTCACCATTTGCTACATGTCTGAAATAAAACCAAGACTTCAATTTATTCTTCATTCAAAACAGCCAACTATTTATCATTGTTTTCATTTTTGTTTATTTTTCATTCTTTGTGAAATCACTTTCATTGTTTTTTTTCCTTTTTTCATTCTTAATTTGATCATTCTGCTGAATTTCATTATAAGTTTTTTCCACAGGTTCTTTTTTTCCAACGCCTATCTTACATATTTATAATTTTTTTTACTAATAAAAAAAAATCATTGATTTCAAAACTGACCTGTCCACCTCCTTGAGTCCAGCTAAACATAACTGTATGTAATATTCAATCATATGGAACTGCCAGAGAGCCAATGAAAAGGGTCCAGTCCTGTCAAATTCATATAAAAATAACAAAGGCCTCAGTCAAAAGAAAAAGTTACACATTCTGAAATGTTGAAACATGGTTTATAGAATACAATATCTGTACATAAAATTTTCATTTTCAAATTTAAAAATATTGTTTAGTTTAAAAGAATGATTATTGATTGATGGAGTAAAATATTGATAATCTTAGTTTTGAGCTTTTAACACTTTAATACATTTTACAAATTTGTGATTGTACTTTCAGCAAATGTTTTTTTTTTGTATCGTATTTGATATGTATATCACAATATCTGAGATGATCTCACATATTTCCCTCTGGTTTGTTAAAAAGTTATTGTTTCAAATGCCTTTTCATCCTATTGGTTAAATACTTTCTGAAAGATTAACTGCCGTTCAAAAAGATCAGAATATCTCTTTAAAATCAAGAAACATAAATTACTGCAATATGTAAGAAAATCCTTCTACGTACCGGCCAAGGAATGATCTGTACGGGAAAAGTTCACGAGTTTCCAGATCCCTAGATTCTAAAGGTTCTGGGATTGTAAGTTCACTGCTGTATAGACTAGGGCGCTGAATGTTACTCAGGGCTGGAAGGGCATGGTGGATATTCTGCTTGATTGACTGTCAAAAAAGTTTTTTTTAATTGTAAGTGATTAATGGTCTGACAAATTAATGACTTACCTCATTAAAACAGGAATTATGATTTGAGGCACGTTCTGTATATTATTTGTGTTCAAGTTTATAACATGGATTGAACTTTCTTTTCTCTGAAATTTTTAGATTTAACGATACTGAATTCAACAAAATATGGATTTAATTCAGAAGAAATGCAGGAAATTACTCAAAATACAACAATTGACCCTTACCTGGAATGCCTGTACATTTCCAGTTGATAAGAAAGTATCGGTCATGCAGTGTCTGACAGCTGTGTCAAACTCCAGAAACATGACCTCCTTCCGCAGGTTCAGTAGTTCAGCAATGGTTGCAGGATCATTTGGGTTCGGCAAATTATCAATCTGCTTTTGGATTTCTCTCAGTTCAGATCCTTTAAATGTTTGAAAGCAGTGCAGACACTTAGCAGTGTTAAAGTGAATAAATATGAAGAACCATAACATATGCTATATGATGTTGTTTATTAAATAGTTACAAACAAAATAAATGAAAAAGCTGAAGTAGTACTTTTCCTTTCAATAAATTTCTTTTTTTTCTTGTGAATGATTTCATATTTCTTCATATTTTGATTTATCATTTTCATATTTTTTCCATTTCATGTTTTTACAACATGAGATTATTTTACTTCACCGATGAAACACTGAATATTTATTTTAATAAGCTAAAAAAATTTTAAGAACAAAATCTAACCTATTCCTTCTATTCCACCCCAGTCTGCTGAGACAAACTCCATCCTTCGCGTGCCGAGCCGAGCGAGAGAGCTACCGAGCCGTGAATGAGCACACAGATACTGGAGCATGTCATGTAGCGAGGCAACAATCATTACGGTATATGTCAAAGCTTGGACACAATCAGCATCGTCCAGCTTCTTGAACATGCTCAAAGCCTCTGTGTGATGTGGAATGAACCAGACATTCAACACATGTTTTCCATTGTTGGTTAGAAGCTGGCGAGGACGAGCCTTTCTCTGTCTGTACAACAAATCACAAATCTTATCTTGTTAAAACATGAAATTATCTGCTGCAAAAGACCCAATATAGTTGGGATCATCAGTTTGTGTTCACGTTTGGTTTTTGTGAGATAAACAAGCACTTTTATAGTCAAACCTCTACTCAGAGACCATCTTCAGTCTGGAGGGTGGTCCCTCATTACAGGTGGTCTCTTAAAACAATATCAGTCACCTTAAACATAATATCATGGTGGCCTCATAACAAACATGACCTTTTACATCAGATTCAGCTGTCCCAAATTAATTTCATAATGGCCCCCACAGTACTGTTAGAGTTACCTTGTAAAATTAAATGGTATTCTGAAGGATGGTGCCTCACTACAGGTGGTCTCTTAAAACAATACCAGTTACCTTAAACATTATTTTACTGTGGCCTCATAACAAAGGTGACCTTTCAGATCAGGTTCAGTTGTCCTACATTATTTCAATAATGGTTCCACAGTTAGAGCTACCTTGTAAAATCAAATGGTAGACTTTTAAGAAAGATAATTTCTTCAAAATAAAAATGTATGGTCTTACAATGGTAAATCAAACTGGTTTAATATCTATCATTTTATGTATAATGTACCTCATGTACTCTAAATTTCATTGTTATTTTTAGAATTTGATGGCTCTCGTAAAAACACATTTGTATGTTACCTTGGATCTGGAGTGAGACCAGATAGATCCTCCACATCTTCTTTCTTTTCACTTGGTTCTCCCAGCATGAAATAGGTGTTCCTGTCAATATTAATTAATTGTTTATACAGAGTCCATGTAAAATTTAACGTCCTGATAACTCTACCAAGTATTCATGATAATTCTCTGTAGACATTAGTAATATACTGCAGCCATTACTGAATCTATGTACAGTAACGAGCTCCTGTAACCATTAATATGCCCCTGTAACCATTGACAAGCACCTGTAACCATTAATATGCCCCTGTAACCATTGACAAGCACCTGTAACCATTTACATGCCCCTGTAATCATAAATGTGTCCCTTTACAATGAGGTTATTAATAAGTCCCTGTAAATATTAACAAGTCCCAGCAGTCATTACCAAGTTCCTTCTACTATAAATGAGTCCTTGCAGTCATTAATAAGTTCCTAACAATATTAACAAGTCACTGCAGCAAGTCACTATTTATTCATTAATGAGTCCCTGCAGTCATTAATTATTTCCTACAGCAGTAAATGAGTCCCTGTAACCACTGTAGATGACCTTTGTATACAGTGTTATCATATCCCCTTATGGAGGGAAATTGTTAGAGTGATTCAGGACAGGATAGGACACAGAATCCTTCTAAACATAGAATGTCAGGGGCATAGAAAAGTTTAATATTTCTTAGTCAACTGCCTTCAACAAGTAATTCTAAATTTAGCACTGATGGCTGTCTGTATATTTCTCTTTCCTGTACAAAAATGATATTTATGGATTTACCGTAATGTTGGGAAGTCCTCAAGCAGACGGAGCATGCTGTTGTAGTACGCAATGATTTGTCCTCTCAGAGAAAACTGAGCCATACGACGATTAAACATATAACAGAACTCTGAAATCAGGCTCCTGTGACAGAAAAAAATAGAGTCTAGAAAGTTTTACACATACATACATATCCAGTTGTAAATTCATGACTAAACAGAAAAAACGTTTGGAAAATCCAAAACCCAAAAAACCAAAATTTATCTTACTGATACTATAGCCTATTTGCAGTATTACCTTTAAGCTTTTACCAGTAAATTCTAAATTTACTTTCAGTAAAGTCCAAGTAATTTTACAATCAAATCCAAAATCTACTTCCAATATACTCCAAGTTTAAACAGTTAAACTCTAAATCAACTGAGAGTAAACTCCAAGTCTATGCAAATTAAACAGGTTTGTACAATTAATATCTAAATCTACAGTCAATTAACTTGAAGGTTACATGATTAAGTTCCAAATGAAACGTGACTTCATCGTAAAATGTTTAAAGTTCTATATAATTATTAATATAATTTGAAATATTTGGAAAACTTTTTCTCTTTGACAAATGTTCAAGATTAACTGACTCGTGTGTCTATTCTGTTTCAAGTATTAACCTTTTTAGTTTCTCCATCTCCTCTGTGTTCCTAAGTAGCATGCCCATCTGGCTCTTCTTGTGTACAAACTGATTCAGCATCAGGTCTCGACTAGGGGTCTGTGAGAATAATAAAGTAATATTACAAATATTTAGTGTATTCAATTACAAACATGTGAAAAAATGTATGAAAAAAAATTAACATTGATTTTTTTCAAGGAATGATTTTCCATTACTTTGATTATAGAGAAATCAAACAAATTTATAACAAAATTTTCTACAAATCAAAAATACTGCCATAATGCTTACAGCATGGTTAATATATCATACAAATTTTGTTTAATTAGTAATTCACCGTCTGATGAAGTTTTCAGCTGCCCTGTCGAAAAATCTTGCATCAACTGGAAACAAAGAATACTTTCTTGCATTTGGAGTATATAGAATTATAAATTATCACCAATTTGAACAAGTCACATTGCCATACCTTTTCCAGTTTAATGGAAACAAAAGACTCAGGGAGGGGTCTGTTGCGGGCTGTCCTGCCCAAACCTTTAGATCCAAGAGCAGTTCCCCCAGTTCCACTTGAGAAGCCGGTCAACTGTGTTAGGGAACTTTTCTCACTCTTTGTTTCTGTTGGACTCAATCTTCCGCTACAAAATGTCAAGCATTTTCTTTTCTTACTGGATTATAAAAATGTCAGCAGTTTTCTGGTATAGGATTTTTCTTCTTTTTGATGAAACGGAGATTAACCTGACTGCTATATTTCATCAAACCTTTGGAAATGCCTACTTATTCTTTGACAATAGAGAATTAGTGCAGCACAAACTGACTTAAGAAAGAGCAATGTAAAGCAAATATTTTGTTTTATAATTATTCCAAAAGCACAAATTCTAATTTTCTTCTCATTAGAGACTAAACAAGATGGGCAAATTTTCATTTTTCATATCCATTCACCCAAAAGAAATTCCATAGTTTAATAATAAAAACAGATTTTAAGTATGTCATTTTGTTTCCAATTCATATTGCCAAATTGGGCAAATTACGATACAATTAAATCACTTTTACGAATAATCAATGGAATATTCGCAATAATTCAATAGCAGGTTTTAAAACAATGATCTTGAGATGTACCTTTTGAAATTCTCTGGCTCTTTTAATGGTGTACAGACATCAACAAGCTGAATGGCACTCAGGAGGGCATTTTTCTGTACAATCTGTGCCTTCAGTACCGCAGATAAACTTTCTACACCACCAGGGCGCATAATCTGTAAATAATTTCAAAACTGTTAATTTTTCAAATAAGATTATGTTATATGAAGTCAATGAATTTCCTAAGGTTCTACATGGACTGACAACAGAACAAGTCCTTTGTAGGATGTGTATGTTGTACATTACATTATCAACACCACAAACAGAGACAACACTGTGTAACTTGTATCAACTTTATTTCAGTTTATCGTAAGCTGTTCCTCAATGGTTTGTCTATTTCTAGCAAACTGTCTATAAAATGTTAAATGGCAAAAAAATATTAATATACATTTACTTACCTGCAGGACACCCTCTCTGCTTCGAAAGCTGAATCGGCCAACATGGCCCTCATCTAACTCATGTATGGCAAGAAACAGATTAATTGGTACGTATCTGTAGACACAAAATGATGAAATTTTACACAGCAATCAATGGAGAGGTATAACAGGAGAGAAACAAAGAAAATGGCAATTTGAATAACTGTATTATTTCTCTTCCAGGAATCTTACACAAGAATTTATTTTTTAAAATACTGGATGTCAACAATAGATAAATGATAAATACAACTAGTTTAAGATCCTGCTTTGAGGTAAACCCAAACATTTTTAAGATCTGGAACCAAACCTACAAATTCCTGAAGGAGTCATGGTTCAAATACTGCCAAACGTTCAAAGCATTTTTATCATGCATTGGTATGGTTGTGAAACATCTGACATAGCTGTGGAATTTCAATATTATTTGAATTGAGCTGCATACATTAATGAAGGAATTACGATAAGGAAGTATACAAGAAATACCTGTCAGCAGCTGATTCTTCATCTTGGTCCTGGGTCATGAAGGTTGGTGGAGGTTTCCCAGCATCCTCCTTGTATGAGGCATACTCAAATTGGACAAAGCGTATAAACATGTGAGATTCATGGTAACCCATTTCCTCCGCCTGCTTCTTATAAATCTGGAAGACAATGAAAACGGTATTCACTTTTCATGTAATTTGGTTTCATTTTTGAATTTTTTTTTCATTTTCTCAGTATTTAAATTCTAAATTATTTTTCTACAGATGAATAATTGATTGAAAAGATAATGAATGTGAAAAAAATTTATTGATATGACCAGAATTTACAAAAGTTGTTATTCTTATCATTAGAACTTTTATCAAAGTCGGCATGGCAAATTATTCAAATTCTATCCTGCAGTTTAAAAAATCATATTGTCTCAAAGTTTGTTTGATACTTCCATACAATATTGCAAATGCCTATTTTGCATTTTATGGGTATAGCCTTTAAGTAGTGGGGGCTGCGGTAACCCTTCCACCTCTGGGTTGTACATTTGAGATCTACATGGGGCAGTTGGCAGGTACCAACCACAGGTTGGTGGTTTTTCTCTAGAAACCCCAGCTTTCCTCGACCAATCAAACCCGGCACATACTCAAATGCTCTTGGTCGTTAATAGGACGTAATACAACAATATACCAAACTTAAGGTAGTGACCTTGTATGTATCAAACTAGATGATGATCCCCATGCTGTACAAGTTCTTACCTTAGCCAATATGTCAGTTTCCCATGCGGAGTTAATCAGCCTGTATCGATAGGTCAGTGCCTGTAAGAGAACCAGTTACAGGTAAATGTACACAGACACACTTACTCAACCAAAACCATATGTATCTACTGTCGGCACCAAAGAATGATATTCATTTAACATAAAACAAAATCAAAACAGTCTTTCAATAGAAAATCACGTCAATAGCATTTTATTTTCTTATTTTTGTTTATTTTTGTTTATTTATGTTTGTTTTTGTTTATTTATGAACTTTTCAGGAATAGAACCATGCTGTTACCTCCATAAGTCTACCAACAGTGGCCAACATTATGGCCTGTCTCTCCTTGGCTGGTTTTCTTTGTGCTTCCTCTGCCCCCTGTGTGACCATGTTCTGGGCAATTTCACACATAAACAACGGGTCATCAGCAAACACTTCAGAAAACAACTGAAACAAAATGAAAACAGGTGTTCATGCCATGTAATACAATACCTGTACATTCAACAACAGGGCACTTTAAAGGGGAAAAAATCAGATAATTTTCTCAAGGCTATTCCAGTGAAACATCTATCTCAGCCTCGGACTCTAGGTTTTATTTAAGTACAACCCATTTAATTAAATTGCTAATTTCCTTGGAAATAAGTTAAAGGAAACCACAGCATATACAGAGTGATCTATTTTGGAATACTGGCATTAAGTACAGTTTCACTTGAGTAGCACTTACATCTTTCTCCAGTTGGTCGGAGTAAGATTTCCCAGGACGCTGCATTTTGCTCCATTCCTTGTTGGCTGCCTCCAGCATCTTCTTTTCTATAATGAGGGCATCGTAAACAGACTCTGGTCTGTGGGCATGTATTAGTTCCTATTGACCAATAGAAAGACAAATATCTGTGAGTTGGAAAGTTCATTGAAGTATCAGTAGCGTTTATTTTCAAATTTAAAGTACATTACACTTTTGCAACACAAATTCTTCAATATTAAACCTTCAGTTTTGAAGTGATGTTTCCCTTTCATTCAAAATAACAAATTTTGTAAAAGAAAAAAATACAAACTTAATCAGAATTACACCAGCAAGAAAAACCATGATAAGAAAACTACATTTCAAACACATAACAATAAATTATCATTCATATAAAAAAGATGCATATTGTATAAAAATGAAGAAATGATTGTTACTATGTGCCTTTGAGAGAAGTTGTACTAACCTGTAAAGCATATTTGAGAGCCTCTGGAACTTTGCTGGCCATGGACAGTGATGTGTGGAACTCCAGCATGTAAACATTCTTCAGGGCTGGTCGACTCAGGTTCACTGAGATTGGCTGTTTCGGGATGACACAGAGAGGCAGGCCAAACTCCGAGTCCCCCTCCCGACACACTTTCTGTGTATACTCTCTTTGTTGCTCCACCTGGTAGGTGATTGAGAATTTATGAAATATTTGTCATGATGAACTGAAGTTGTGGTACTTCGGAAGTTTTAAATGAAGCAATAATGCATGAAAAGGTCTTGAGTGAATTCAAACTTAAATCTTCAAACAGGATTATTGTCTTATTACTGCAATGGCTTCATTTGTAACTTTGAAAGAGAAATTACGAAATTCAGGAAACAAAAATTTCAGTTGATGTGTTCGCTGTTTATTTTGTCATGTTTACGTCTGATTTAATCTTTTATTATTTTGAACCTCTTCTTCAGAGAATCATGACTACAGCTTTCTACTGTCCTAGTGAATACAACGACAGTGTTAATAAAAATGGCTGCAAAAAATTCTTAAAAGAGTAATGTTATTTTTCTGCTACAGAGAATATCTAAATGTGTACAGCATATTATCAATCCATCCTTATTTGGTTTAAATCTTCATAAAAACTCCCCACAATAACAAAAACTATTTTGTTTACACGTTATATCTAAACTGACCTTGTATGAATAGGATATGTCTAAAATTACCTGTCGGTCAAGCATGGCCTTAACCAGTGATGTTGTCTGTCGCATTATAACACACTCTGTTCTGTAGGTCTTCACAAAGTATGTTGTATCAAAGTCAAAGCGAGGCCGCTTGTAGATAAGGTTGGTGATGACTTGTGCTAGGGCTCTTTTCTCATCACGATCAAACACGTGTTGGTAGGCCTCTACATAACAATCCACTAACTACAGGACCAAAATTTAAAAAACAAAGTTATTTCTGTGCTCATATCAAATGCAATTTATTTGAATCATTAATCAAATTTATTATCAGGTAATATTTCAACTACCTGGTATACAGGGACATCAATTATGTTCAAATTCTAATTAAAAATCTATTGAAATTTACCAATTAAGCTCGAATTCAATTTTATTGATAAATTCAATGGATAAACTGAAACAAATCAGACCTGAATTCCTTTCCTGTTTTTTTTTTCATCATTTTTTTATCTCTGGATCATACTAGTTTTATCATCAATTTGTAGTGCAAATAAAATCAAAATAGATTTTATTTATAGAAAATTGCAAACATGTTTGCAAAAATATGTTTAGAAAATGCTATATATTTTCAAAATTCGTCTTTGATTTACTACAGTAATACTGTAATGTGCTAGTAGCAGGTACTGACCTCTCGTTTACATTCCTGATAGGCAGCCTCATTCGTCCATAGATCCATCAACACCCCAAACCTGTCCACCTCTTGATGTGCATAGCTGGCGATGTCGAAATCTCCAGGACCCATCTCTGATATCTGAAAGACATCCATTCCAAGAGGCAAATGTTAAATATCTAATTTGTTTTTTAACAAAACACATTCCAAAATCCAAATCATATCATGTCAAGTATATCTTTTAAGTCTATTTTTAAAGGATGATCCTATCAAATGTATGATCCCAAATTTACCTGTCTACGCTTCATCGAATCTGATGATCTGACAATTCGTGACTGCTGTCGTAGATCTCTGTCTTTCTCTATATAGTGGGTAGCCACGAGCAGCAAATCTTTCTCCAAATCCCTGTGCAATAAAATAAAAGGCAAACAATGTTTCAAGGGAGATAATAGAATTATACCTATTGACTGAAACACATTTTGTCCCCACCCCACACCCCCAACATTTCAATAAATGAGGAAATGCATTGGCAATATCAGTGAATGAAAGCAATTTTTGCAGATTTCGTTTTACTTAGTGTAAAACTTTTATCCTTAGGATGTTGTAAGATGGCATTGACCTTTTTCTCAGATTAATCTTTGACCTTTATTTTAACTTTCCCCAAGACTGACATTAGCCCATGTAGTTTTAACTTCACTAAAGGTCAGTCCATGTAATATATCCTTGATCTTCCCAAGTGACTTATGATGCCTGTGGTACATGACCTTGAAAATCTAATGACCTAACAAGAGGTCTGTCTAAAGGCAACCTTACTTGAGGTCAGTCTCTGCCGCATCATAGATGATGAAGTATCCCCGCTGATCATGTACGTGAACCCGTCCTTCCTCGATCGTGTAGAAGTCATCATGATTGTCAACATCAGCATACTGTATGAACTCAGCTTCATTCAACCTTTAAGAAATGGCAATAATCAAATTTCAAACATTTTCCACAAAACAAGACATATCTATCACATGAATATACAATACCAGTTTTTACAAGTAGAAGAAACTTGAAACTGTTACAATTTGGAAAACGTCAAATCGTCAACAATAAAGGATTTATCCGTTTTCATATAAAAGCTGTTAGGTAAGACTTTTTTGTCTTAACCTGTAAAATATAAGTTAGATTAAAGTTTCTCTATAAAAGGTAAAACATGATAGGACTTTTTTTTCTAGATCTGTAACATATAAACCCAGGTGCTTACGTAAAAAAAAATCTTACCCAAGGTCAGGGGTGGGCTTATTACAGAATAATGGAATAAATTTATTATTGTTACCAGACATGAGATTTTCGCCAGATAGATACAGGATATCTTACTTGTAGTCAGCGGGGGTGTTGTGGATGTAACCATGGTTACCAATCCCTCCGCCTCCTCCAACTGTTCCTTCATGTTCTGTGGATCGTCTGTGGTTCTGTGGGCTAAGTAAGCAGAATAATTCTATCAATGACAGTATTAACAGATACTTAATAAATAACAACTAAAAATGATGAATATTGAGTAACTATAGATTTATCAATGAAACAAAAATATCTGACAAATAATTACAACTTTGTTTTCAAAATTTCCATTATCTGTTTAATTCTAGAGAGAATTTTGTATCCCATATATTTTAGATATGTTTTACATTTGAAAATTTTGGCTTATAAAGAAATACTGCTTTAAAACAAAAGGGAAATTTCCACAACTTATTTGAATTTATTTCACCTGCATCATTTAATACCAAGTATGTATTTTAATGAACAATATGACTGTGATGAGAAGTACTACTATCACAGTACACCTGGCACTGGTCCTTACTACTTACAAAGTCTTCTTATAGTCACTTCCTTCTTGTGTAAGCCCAGCATCATTTATACAGAGTGTTCTTTCTAACGATCGGTAGTAATTCAAACAACTCAGCACCTGTAACATGTTCAAATCAGCAGATAAACAGTATATCAAAAGGAAAGCTACTTCACATCAAATTAAGAATTTTACAAAATGGAAGATGGACAGCATCAAAGATATTTTTAATTTGTAAAGAAATGACTGACAATTTGGAAATATCAAAACAAAACCTTTTAATATATCTAATGAAATATTCTCTTGTCTAAAAAGTGTGATAATTTTATAATAGAGCTTTCTATACATAAATATTATGATGAAATGTTGATTTAGGTTTCGTGATGTCAATTATGTTTATTAACAATACCCATTTTTATATCATATTTCTATTTTTTTCAATATCAGCTTATAGGTACCTTACAATACTAAAATACTAAACTTTAATATACGTCTTTTTTTAATTCTTAAAATTTTGAATTCCATTTATGAACTATGTTCCTCGGTTTGTAATACAGGGTAACAGGAAAATTATGTTAATTCTTGTTTTTCACAAAATATGAAGGAAACAAATCTTTAATCTGATTTAGATTTCAATGTATGGTTGACGTACTGTTCGATGGAGGTCTCGGAGTCTCAGATGTCGTAAGTGTAGAAAGGAAAGGTATGCCCCCTGGACAGTGGCTGGATCTGTATCCTCCTTCCCATCATCCATACCTAGAAAGGAAAAAATTGTATTATTAATAAACGTTTCTAAGATGTAGCTGAATCCTCCAAGTCCACAAGGTCAGAAAATTTCTTTCATGAGATTGTCAGATTACTGAAAAATTTGTCATCTGACAAAATGTTGGTTAACAAATAAGCAATGTATGATCTTAATACAATGACATTTGTTTGTTTGTTGTTTACTTACTTTCTTTTTTACCATTAGAGATATGATATTCTCTACTCTAATATCGTACTTCTACTTTACAACTCTAGCTTTATTCTTCTGATAAAAAAAAACTTCTATTCTTAGCCTATAGCTAATATTCTGCTGTTTATTATCTTTGGTTTTAACCCACACTACAACTACCAACCAGTCAGGTTAATTCTACATAAACCCCAGAACTACACAAGGGTAGAACATACTGCCTATAAGACTAGTCAGTAAGGAAATCTGACCTAGACTTTACCGAGTGAGTTAAACCCCAGTTGTCATCTTTTATATATCTAATTTTCTTGCAAACCAAATGTACTGATACCATTTGTATTCTGTAATAAACCTGAGGATGCAACACATTAATCTCAGCTTAAGACAGAGGGGTGGGCTTATTGGAGAACAAGGAAAAAATCAGCAGCAGACATTTTCACGGAACAGTAAGAGATATAGGTGGACTTATTGCCAGTTAATTACAATTATCACCAATGTTATTTTTAATTTGATTGTTTGTTTACCAGGTTAAATTGATATATTAGTAAAAAGAAAACAAGAAAAAAGAGAAGAATTCTTTAATTATCTTTCAGACCTCAGGTCAATTTTTGAGTTCAACTAGCCGACAGTAACTAATGAACTAAATGTTATTTATGTGTATACCTTCTTTAGTACCAGCTGAAAATTCAAAAGCTGAATCTAGAAATTTGTGCAAAAGAACAATGTGAAATAAAAAGAACAACATTGTATACTCATTAATAAAAAAGGCAAACAAAAACACAAAAAAATTGTAATAATACATGCTAAGAAAAGTAATAATAAAATAATTTAACGCATTGTAAAATGATATGATCCATTCACTTCCCAGCATGCAACTTTGTATTAATCAAAATGTTTAGTAAAGCATGAATATTAATCATTGATACACAAAATAAGAATTTTTTCTAATACAAAATACAAAAAATGACAAAATACAAGCAAAGTTACTATCATAATGCAAAGAATATATGATATTTTAATAAAGTTAGAAACACAAGAAATCTTAGCAATAATTATTAATGTTAAAAAAAGCTCAAGACATACAAACGTTTTTAGGAATCAAATTTACTTAAAAACTTAAGCTTTTATGTGAATCAGATCTTACCCAGCATTCTGACTGTGTTCATATAATCATAACTGTCTTTACGTTTCCTGGCGCTTGAAGCTCGAGACTGTGTCAAATCAACATTTTCTATCTCTCTGTCATCAAGCTCTCGACTCTCATCATCAGCATCCTCACTGCAAAAGAAAAGCTTGCAATTGTGATAATGAACATCAACAAATAAACAGTGTATAACAAATTACAGGTACTTCTCAGAACTGATATTACATATAAATATATCAGTTCAGTAGAATGAAACGGAGAGACACAAATATCAAATGCAGAATTAATTTGTTAATGAAACTTGAATATATTATAATTTTAACAGAAAGATGATATGGAAATAGTGATGAGAATGTATAACCTGATCTAAAACAATACTGATTTTGATAGGATAAAGACATTTTATGAATATTTTAAATGATATTCTCCATCTAGTATGGTAACTGCCTATCCTACAATAGGCCCAGGGAACCATAACATACAGTACAATCTGGCATTTCCATACACCCCTACAATAAATGTGGGTGGACTTATAGCTGAATAAGTATGGTTACAACAAATTTCTCGTACCATCCTATCAAGGAGGCAGACTTCAAGCTTTTTACCCAAATTTTAAACATGATAATACTTCATTACTATTCTATGATCTTTACAGTCCAATATGAAATACAGAAAACAAAGTAAGGTATGCTGATTTCAAACATTTATGAATTAATTTGTCAAAAGTTTGAAAAAGTTACTTCACCCCAACAGAAATTAAAAAACATTGGCAACTAAAAATTATTATATATGTCCTACTCCGAATCTTTAAAGGTGTCATGCATACTTAACATATGTCAGATTACACAATAAATATGATTTCATTTTCAATTTTATATATTGCTTTCACAAGAAAATATGAATATTGTCAAATGAATATGATATGAAACTGATTGTTAATCATCTGACTTTTACTGAAAACCATAAAAAAAAATTTACTCTGTATAACGGTCTGGATTGCTGTAGATCTTCCTCCAGGTGGCAGCAGTGTTGTAGCAGGCGTTGGACTTGTTAGAGGTTACAGAAGCAGGAAACACTGGGACTGGGTCACGAATTACAGCTGCATGGTCTCGTAATATATCTTGTACTCTCTGAGATAAAAATAAACAAGTTTTAACTTCAAAATATTATATTATTTATCTTTTTAATTTCCAAAACATAACCTGTACTTACCTTCTTCAAAAAAAATTCTACAAATATGAAAAAAAAAAAAATCCTGAACTCTCCAAAACGTATCAACAATAAATCCTAACTCTTAAACATTATGAAACCCAGTATTCTCTATAGATGAAAAGCAAATATTTTTGTCTAGACAAAAACAAATTCCAAATTCACAAGATATCATAAATTAGTACTGTTGTCTCCATGTATCAAAACTAGTGTCAGTCATTTTATTTCAATTACAGAGTTATCTTTTACTAATTACAAAACAGAAAAATATATTATTAAAATATGAACAAAAAAAGGTTACCATGGCGAAGTAACAAAATCAGTTCAACCAGAGACAATAGAATAAAATCTCCAATCACAAACCTTTGGATCAGCCATACTCAGGAAACCATATTTGATTTTGAGGATCTCATCAGTTTTATTGGCTTGACGTAGCTGTGTCCATTTTTTTTCCTGAATTGGTTCTTTTTCAGGGCGTAGGCGAATGTAGGGCACCCAGTTAGCTTCCTGTCTGAGAGCATGTGTTGAGGAATCAGAGCCCCAATTCTCCATTCCAATCTATAATAAATAAAATTGTTTTTTTGTTGAATATCAGTTTTTGTTTCATAGTAATGCTTAATGATACTTAGTTTGGAGCACAAAGGCTATTGTAATGACATAAATCTAAACATCATAACATCTAAGGAATTAGGGGAATCATTGAGCCTTTTTATTAGCATGTGAAGTATTCAGATAGACTGATTTTATGGTAAAACTAGATAGAGTAGAGAACTTAACTCTCTGTTAAAATAACACTTCACAACATTAATCATTAACATCTGACTTCCCCTTCTGATGTTGTACATTCATACCTCTACACGGTCATAGGCCTTAAAGGTTCTCATGTTTTCTTGACGGAGGAACAGGAGTCGGAATTTCCTGTTAACAGCTGCGTATAACTCCATTTCATCTGCAGGAGTGTGTATGCTTTCTAAATCCTGTAAGTATATCATTATAATATCAATCCCTATATACAAAGACTGTTTTTTGGTTTCTGAGTAAATTTCTTTATTTCAACAACACATATTTAAAAATGAGTAACTGTGATGTTTGACATTCATCCCTGCATTCTGCCTTTGATAGCTGACTCACATCCACTTTGCATTGATTAACACCCCAGAACTATTTACGTACCAGGATTGTGACTTGAATCTTATTGTATGTTAAAATATAGGGGAGGCATTGCTTGCTTATTTCTCTTCAGCGATAACACAATCTTTAAAATAGGAGCACTGGGTCAATATATATTCTGATCTACATATGAAGTTTATGAAATCAAAAAATTCACAAAATTTATGAAAATACATACATAGTTGATTCCATATATGTTGAGTAGGAAACTGAGATGAGGCTTAAGAGAGGCAAAATCGATCACATTAAGTGGAATCCCAAGTGAACTTTCATCAGTGGCCAGGCCTCCACCTACAAGACATCAATAAACGCATTACAATTTTTAAAGTTTCTTCTTTTGACCAAAGTAATGAGATTTTGACTTTCATGCTGCCACTGATTGCTGTAGTATACAGTGAACTATATATATAAAGACTGTGTATGTCAATAAGGTGAGAACAAGTCCATGATTAAACACATCAGATTTCAACATAAATTCTTCTGATTCAAATCATCTGCATCATTCTTATATTTACTGATTGTTGAATGATTAAAAACAATTTTCACTAAATGATGCGTAATTATTTCTTAATTGTAAATTTACGAACCTGCAGCAGCAGCTGCCATTGTGAAAGCTGAAGATGGAAGTGGGGATGTTGTCAACAGATTGGCACTGATAGGTGGTGCTGAAGGCACAGTGTTTGAGGCTTGTGTAGATGCTGCTGAGCTAGGACGAGATGACCCTGGCTTCGGCTTCTGGAATAAACCCATGTTGTCATCCTGATAACGCGATGCAATTTTAGAGGCACTTGCTGTATCCTCCTGGAAATGAAAATTAGTTTGTTCATGTTAATCTGTAAATTTTGATTTCAGATAATAAAATAAATCAAGGTTAGTAATTCTCTGGATGTCAAGTCTTAAAAAACTCTTATCAAAGGAGATATCATCAATGGATTGTTTCCACCATCTCCAAGTCTATGCAATTTTTAAGTGAATGAAAAATCTAAATACAAGACATTTATCAAAAAGAAAAAATCTTTAGTCATACCTACCAGTGTCAACAGTTTGTCCACATGACTTAAAGATGGCGGTTTAAAACGATTTTTCAGAATTTGTACTTGCACACATAAATTTCTTATAGTACTTTTTAAAATCTAGATAAAATTTGAATTCTACAAAATTATCACAGAGTGGCTGTTATTCTTACCAAGTCCTCTTGGTCTTTACTTGGTGGTACAGTGTCAGCTCTATACAGTATGGGTAACCAATGAAGTATCTGTTCAATGGGAAACATCAAAAGTCAATTAAACTAATATTCTATTGATCTGGCCTTATTTAGTTACTGTAAACTTTCATCATCTTCATTATATTGAGAAATATGTCAATATTGTTACTTAACCCTGAAGGGTTCAATGTTGAAAAAAAAAATCAATGCAGCTGTTTAAAACAGAATAATCAAGAAAATGAGGGGAGGGGGCACTAAAGAATAGAAAGTGAATTACAAAGGCTTATAATGTACATTGGAGTCATCTTCTCAAAGGCACATAGCATTACTATACATGACAAACTGAAGTGTGTATCACATGACCTGCTGAAGACAGACACCTGAAGTATGGAGGGCAATTTTACTGGGAAGGTATTTACGGCTCTTCCTTCCTTTGCATGTGTGTCTTTTTTTGTTAAATCTAATAACATGCAATTTCTAATTTTCATACAAATTTAGATACTTCAAGTTTTAAAGCATGAATGTCAAAACAATAATAATTTATCAGAAAAATGAAACTTTTCAAAATAAAATACTAATTGAAAGTACACATTTTGGTTGGCTGTCTTTACCATAGCAGGTACTGTCTTGTCTTGGCTTTAAATCTGATACACACTGTCAACATTGATTTTTATAGCTAAGTCTGAATGGAATGTCACCAAACTAGACAGTCAACCATTAGACATTTTTTTTTTCAAGTAGCAGTAATATTATCAGTTGACAAGTTCCTGAACTGTTCAATGATTGTAGATAGACCTCTTTGATTGGAGTTCTGTTCATTGCAAAATTACCTTGAGAAACTGATTTGGGGTCCTCATAGAGTACATATGACATGTCAGCCATCGCAAATAAATGAGAAGGTCATCCATCTTTACATAACTCATTCCAGAGTCATTTCCAGCCAAATAAGCATCTCTAGCTCCACTCAGTCTCTTTGCCCTTGCGACACAGTCATTGAACTCTGCTACAATACGGCTGCAATTGTGAAATGTGAAACATAAAACATACAGAAGCTTATCGTTGAGCATAATACCATCTGGAATATCTGCCTAAAATCTCTGCATTATTAGAACATGACTTGATACAAGTACTTTTATATTTGCTGCTCTATTTTTATGTTTAGTGTATTCATTATTCATAAAATGGAATAAAAAACAGTGGCATTTACAGTGTGACAAATGACATTTCTATCCGACAGGCTTAAATAAAAAAAATTCATATATACCACCATGTACATCTAAATTACAAAGCCTAGAGACGAAGGTCATGTAAATGATAAACTTGTGGAAGTAAAATAAATGTAAAGTTTTATTCTTCCTTTTACATGTTATATCACAGCTGTACATACGCAAGTCGCTTGGTGTAATGAGGGTAAAGTGACTCTATAGTACTGGTGTGTTCACAGAAGCGTTTCCATCTCAACATGTGTAGATATTTACAGTGGATAAGCTGCTGAATTCTCTCCAGAAAATACTGAAATTATAGGAATAGTTATAATCACAATACCTATAAGTAACACTTATTTCTGTATTCATTTTCCTTCATACATTTTAAGCTTCTTTTCATCCACCATAAAATAGCATCAAATGCCATATTTTCTTTTTTACCTGAATACCAGACAAACATGAGTGTATGGCATGGACATCTTTTCTAAACAGAGGTAATTTGTTTTCATAAAGTATTTGGAAAATTATTCTCATCCAATAAATATGAAAACTGGTTAATCCATGTTCTATTGAAAAAAATCTAATTTTTGGTTTAACTTCTTTTAATGATTGCTTTCATCATTAAAATTTCATCTACAATTAGGTATTTATACAATATCAAATGTATTATGAAATTTTTGATTGGTCAGAATCTAACACAGTACAAAGATCAACAAACTGACTACAGGGGCATCATACCTGGGGTAATTTATACCCAGTAATGATTTATTAACAGTAGATAACTAATTCTCTTATCAAATCCTCTTTAAAGCAGATTTTTTTTTTATCAATTTCTGACACATCTTAAAATATTTGATGATCTTATGATATATTTACTTAAGTTAATTTCTAAAGCTACAACAATGCATCTTTATATATCCAGTAGAGTAACCTAGACTTTGTACTTGCCTGGTGCAGAAGAAGGGGCAAACTTTTGGGTGTATATTCCAGAGAATCACATGTCATCATCTCTTCCTTCATCAAGTCTGCCTGAAGCTTCAGAGGTTGGGACTCACTCACCTGTATCACAGGTAAATAACACAGAATGTTACAGAGACAGAGAATTACTAGTCTGTATCACGGACTCACTGGCAAATTACACATAATGTTACAGTGGCTCAAAATAACTCTTCTACATCATAGGTAAATAACATGATAATATTATGTTACGAGATTGGGACACACCTGCTTTGTACTTCAGGTAAATACCGTGCAATTAACCAACCAAATATCATCTAACAATTTGGCCATATGGAAAATTACTTACCTGCAGAAGCCGTGATATCACCAGTTTTCTTTCCAGTTTGAAATGCTCTGCATCCTTAGGAATGTGAACAGAACTGAAAAAAAAATGTCAACATTGGTAATAACCCATAGCAGATATCATTATTTTTTGAAATAGACCATAACATTTTTGTAATTCTGTGATCAATTGCTTTCATTACTGGAGAACTAAAGATTTCATAATTTTTACAACACTCCCTTTTTATTATTATTCAACTAGCAAATGGAAGTAATAGTATTTCCTAACATACACTAAACCATCATACAGCTCAATAAGTCAAGAAACTATTAAAATCTGCAAAAAGACACTGTAATGAGGACATATTTAAACCAGCATTAAAGGTCAACTAATTAAGTGATCTTACACACTAATAAAAAAGAAATGTGTCTATACTAAACCAATATAAAAAGTTCTGGAAAAGACATCTATATCTTTATTTGTTTTGTCACTTTTGGGAAAACGACCAAGGGATATTTTTTTTAAATAATATCTGAAAACAAGAAATGAAGAAAAAGAATTAAATTTGGTCTCTTTCATGAGTGGATCAAGATGTAAGATCCCAGTATGATAGAATTATACAGTATATATAAGCTACCTTATAGGTTTGGCTGGAGTTTGAAATAAGAGCTCATATTCCTCGACTGCTGCCTTCAGTTCATCGAGTTCCTTTTTCAGGTCATGGTCCAAGTCCTGTACTTTCTCTGAAGTACCAGGTTGGTACAAATCCGATAAACTCATCATCTTAGAAGTCCTCCGTTGGCAGCGCAACTGTACACGTGAGTCTATAAAAATGAGTTATTGCCTGTTTTATCTAAAATCAATTGTAAGCTTACAGCACGAAAATTAAAAAAAAAAAAAAAAACAAAAACAAAAAAAACACACACCTCTCCATTCACTAAAAGATAAAAAAAATGTCAGTTTTGGAATTTTGTTTCTGAAGAAAAATATTATAGCAAACAGCAAATGTTATACAAATATCAGTAATTGAAAAAAAATGCACCATTAACAATATTTGCAGGTCGTGTAAATATCTTGAAATAATCGAAACCCGGGGTGTTTTAATGATGCTAATACCAGCAAAATCGTCAGCCTGTTGACTGGTCAGTGCTCGGTGTTGCTTCAAACCCGGTAATTAATTAATGATCGAGATGTATTCCATACACTTCAATCTCGGATGCAATGCTAATGGAATACTTACTCTTATTACATCGTGAAGTTTGGAGAAATCATTCCTGATGTTTACATTCTGACAAGTGCGTTCCGAGTCACTCAGCAACGGCAATCTGCGTCAATAAAGTCTTCGCCTAGATAGTACAAGAGCGGCTAACAAGACAAGCGTATTGGGGATGTCGGATAAACATTAAGGAACGATAACTTTTGATAGTCTAATTCTATGTTGCGCTCTCGTGTTATAGTAGATAGTCATGTTACACCTATGAGTTTGTTTCTCACAATTTTTTTTATTTAATGATATACAAAACTGCATCCGTTCCCTAAATGCATTATTAGTTTATTTTAGAAACGCACGTATATTTTATCAAATATTTTCGAGAAAAAAAACACCTGAAAAACGAACGGTGACTTTTAGCTTATTCTTAAAAGTAGTAAATATGATTTCGAATTCGGTAAAAGTTATTTGAGTATTCAAATATCATTTATAATATTTCATTATTAGAATCAATAATCTCTTGAAACGTACAAAAAAAAAAAAGACAAAAAACAATGCGCCATGTAAATTTTGGTTAATCGAAGTAAGTAATGCTACTTTCCTAATGAGAAATGTGAACCACCAGACACGAACATATTGGCACGTAACCCTGGAAGTAACAAGCACGTTCAGCTTCATCAAACTCAAGGAAATGGAATATCAATCAATAAGATGATTGTGACGACCATAAAAAAAACTTCAACATAACCCGATAAACTTGTATATCTCGAAATACTGATACGAGTGTTTGTCTGTCGGCTGTCAACATTTTGAATTCAACTAACAATTCGAGAGATATTCACAATCAACCACAATAACTATAACAAAGGGAAGAGAGAGACATTTTATGCGAATGTCGCAACAGGAATCGAACCCGGATCACTGTTGTTATAATCCACGATTCTCAGACTTGATTTTCACAGTAATTCTTTACTCAAAAGCAGATCACATAAAAAGTTAAGCTTTGAGACAATACATTTCCTGTTTTTGTATGTGCTCGCTTGAATTTGAACTGTGACCATTCTGCATGCTGGATGAACACTCCATATGTTATTTTCTAGGGCCATTCCCTTCAAAGTTTATCTATGAAATGAAAAGACCTTGGCCAATATTCAAGGTAATTGTTCCAAATTTCAAGGGAAAGGCATTGTATTTGATCTGCGACATTTCCACGATTAAGCACAACAACCGTACGAAAAAATATTATATTGGCCTACCGCTTAAGGGAGTCGACGTGACAGGGTCCTGATCATTGGTCAAGTCCAGCTGAATATATTACTTGCTAAATAGAGGTAAAGTGACGCAGTGGTAAAAAAATAAATAAATCTCAGGTATCTGTTGGACTAAGATAATCAAACTACTATCTTTGATAACTTAACAGAAAATACAGATGTATGCATGACAAATTTGTAAAAAAAAAAAAAAATATTTACCCATCACGATTCAAAATCACAGATACACAAATAGTAACAAAACCCCTGGAATGATGATATTTTCAATTTTTTCTTTTTTTTTTCTTTCTAAGTGTTTAAAAGTTTGCTATCTCCAATGGCATTACACATATATTCAAGGTGTTCATCTCATAGTTCTTAAAATACTTTTGTAGCTTCTTCAAATTAAACAAAATTTTACGGCATTTGTTTCTGAAAGCGGTAAAAGCTGTTATGTATACTTTGGAGTTGAAATACGTGTTTGCCTGTTTTAAAATTAAATACACGTACATGTAAGTTTGATTTAGATCCAGGTTAAAGGTCAGTGAGGTGAGATATAATCGACAAATTTCTATGACAAGCATTGAATAACAGAAGTTTGGGAAGTGATTGTTATCACATGTTGTTTTTAAGCGACAATAACAGTAAAAACTAGAAGTGTCCCGAGCAATAATGACGCTTGACTTGACCGTGAGATTCGGGCTAACTGCAACGTCTAATATTTACACGACTGTTTCGTCAAGAGCAGAAATCATGAATTTTTATGCGCCACGTAGATGTTAAATCTTCATTCTTTCATACAAAATGAATGCCTTCAACCAAGGAACAAGCATTGTCAAAGTTTTTTGAAAGACTGACACCACACATCAAAATGGCATTAACTCACTGGGCCTGTTAAGTCATGTAAGTCAAAAATTCCTTTTTTAAACCCAACAAAAATTCAGTTTGAATAAATCTATCATTTATGTCCTGGAAATATATCAAATCACGTCAACGAGATTGAGAGATAGTTTGTGACATCACAGTATGTATCTACGTATAACGTCATAATTGACATCCTGAATATCAACAAACATTGGCACGATTTCTCAAAGACTTCAATAATGGGCTGTTTTGCCTTCCTGAAATGTCTGAAACGTCGTAGGAAACCAAAAATCCATCCTTACATGACCGAAGAAGAAATGGAAGGTATACCACCTCAAGTACCTTGTGGCAAGAAGTACTATCGACTGAGACTTGCTCCACCGCCACGTGGACTGAAAATCTTATTCACCTTCCCCATTTGCACTAGAGACGTGAGAAGCACTTGCTGGATCAGGGACAATGACCCAATCTATCCATGTCCACCACCGCCACCTCCAAGTCCTATTCCGGTTAAAGCCGACCCTGAGCATCCAACTCTTCCGTCACCTGCTGAAGCCGATTCTTCTTCAAACTAAGCAACCGTATACTCCGCCCTTGACATTCGACTCAACTACTTGTACATTGTCTGCCTTGAAATTCAAGCTCTCTATCTATCTCCCACTGTCTAACACAGAAATATTTGCTGAACAAAATGACGAAAACACTAAGAATTGATTTAAAACAATACTTTCATTGACAGTCACTCTGTAAGCAACAAATGATAATCTGCCAAAGACGAGATAGAGGAATGTTTCTTGAGCGAGCATCCTATGTGAAATAAGTTGGTTGCCTTTCTTTTAAGGAGACGAACCAGAGCCAGGAACAATGTCAGTGGTATTCGGTTGAAATGGACAGACAATATTTACTTGCATGTTTATTTGAATTTTAATGCAAGATATACTTATCTAATAAATATCATTTTTGTAAAATATATTTTATCATTTTTTATTCTTATTTTGTGAATTTCTAAAGGACTTGACAACCAACTGACACGGGATCAAACAAACTCTGTATTTCAGTATAGAATTATAGATTTTGCAATCACCTTGCTTCCGTCCGTCTTCTGTCCGTGAATAAGCTTCGGTGTTCTCGGGAGAAAATGAGAGCTCATTCTCATATTGTGCTGACAGTCTTCAAATTGGTCTTAGCTGTGAGACCAGTGTTGATTGTGGGTGTATTTTGTAATGTTCAATTCGTAATACCATTGACATATGTTAGTATGCTCCTCTCTTGTCCTGGTCAAAGAGTTGTTAAAAAGGACAGATACAGTGTAAGTGAAATCTACCAAGTGTACTCTTTTTGCATATTCGAAAATCTACACGCATCACTCTATTCTGTACTCATTTCTATGTCCATATGAAAACAACAATGGCATTTTGTACAGTTTAATAACAGGACATATCTAAATATCCTTCAAACTTCACGTGCATTAGTAGTACTCGTCTCCCCTAACGAATTCTGGCCGCCGATATGTAAAATACTAGTTCCGATGAAAAGTTGTAATAAAATCGTGTCTATTTTATTTTTATTTCACCAGACAACAACGCTCTCAATATGAGGGGAATCAGTTGCCAACATACTATACAAACAGTTACTAAAGTGGAAATGTTTGTATTAACGATATATATATTTGTTTGTTTACTAATTCGGCTTATCGCCCCGAGAACAGACATTTGGAGGCGGAGCCGCCTTGTAGTGACTGGTGGTTACCTCACTGATCATCATACGGGACTTGAAGGCCCACCACATGCTATCCATAGCAATTAGGCTAGACACAACCACGTCAGAACAGACGGGTTCATTTCCGAGATATAAATAAATTTGTGCCGCCGCGTGGTTTGCGTAGGTTGGGAGATTACCTCCCTTAGTGGAACTCGTGTGTGTTCATTTAGTTTACGTTTTGCCTGTGTGCGGTTGAGTGATAGGAAATCACAACTTATGCACAACTTGCAGCGACCACGGTGTAAGTACTGTAATTTTCGGAAATAATAATGACTATTAGCCTAGGCTCTATGATCTTATTTAGTTGTATTCTGATCACTGTCATTGAAAATAACTGTTAATTTTCGTTATTGTTTTACCGGAACACGTTGTTGGACAGGATGGATCATAATGACGTTATTATGAACTCTATAGATGGTGAATTCACAGTGAAATGAGTGTACAGACAGTATTTAGAAATAATTAAGGTGTAACTGTGGAGATTTAATTTATTCGGTATTTGCTTATCGGAGACTTTTAAGTTTGCGCGATTTTTCAATGTATGGAAGCCCTTACTTGTGATAGATTACATTGCGAGATACGATAGGGATAAGGTTAAGTTTGGTTTTCCACTAATTCTAATGTCCATTTTGTTTGTTTCTTGTTACAGACTTTTACCACATTGTTACCATATTCCCATGAATCACTGGCATGAAAGGGTTAACTGGCTGAACTTTGTATATATATATATGCAAAAATTTCGTTTGACCAAACATAACTTACAAGAATGCACAAGGAACCTATGGCTTCCATTTCTTATACTGGTTCATATGGCTGTAGCGGAATGGTCATGCCAAAGCCGCTGGGTTCAATGTTAAACATTTATTAGAAGAGAGACATTAACACGTATCGTGCATTAATGTTGCACACGACAGCACAGACGATACTACATGATCTAGTCAAGGAGTTCACATCACAGTAGCAGGTGCAAATGCCAGAAATAAACAGAGACAGTCTTACTGACTAAAGAATCCATCCGTTCACCCGGAGAGATATAATTCAAATTACCGGAGTACTAAGGACAATAAAAGAAATTCACAAGACAGAAACTTCAATCAATCTAACAACTACGTCAAAGTCTGTCAATTGTCACTTAATAAACTTCGGTGTTCTCGGGAGAAAATGAGAGCTCATTCTCATATTGTGCCGACAGTCTTCAAATTGGTCTTAGCTGTGAGACTTCAGTGTTGATTGTGGGTGTATTTTTTAATGTTCAATTCGTAATACTATTGACATATGTTAGTATGCTCCTCTCTTGTCCTGGTCAAAGAGTTGTACAAAGGACAGATAAGTGAAATCTATCTAGAATACTCTTTTCGCATGTTCGAAAATCTACACGCATCACTTTATTCTGTTCTTATCTTTATGTATTTATGAGAACAACAATGGCATTTTGTACAGGTTAATATCAGGACATGTCTTGATATCCTTCAAACTTCACGTATATTAATAGAACTCGTCTCCCCTACCGAATTTTGGCCGCCGATATGTAAAATACTAGTTCCGATGAAAAGTTGTAATAAAATCGTGTCTATTTTATTTTTATTTCACCAGACAACAACGCTCTCAATATGAGGTGAATCAGTTGCCAACATACTATACAAACAGTTACTAACGTGGAAATGTTTGTATTAACGATTTATATTTGTTTACTAATTCAGCTTATCGCCCCGTGAACAGACATTTGGAGGCGGGGGATTCCTTGTAGTGGCTGGTGGTTACCTCAATGATCATCATACGGGACTCGAAGGCCCACCACATGCTAACCATAGCAATAAGGGTAAAGGACACAACCACGTCAAAACAGACTGGTTAGTTTCTGAGATATGAATAAATTATATGTATAATTTTCATTCAAGCAAAATCTAATAGACAAAGAAAAATGGTATTCTTCGGTCTCAAAAATATATACCGTCGTTCTATGAACGGCATGTCTGTTAAAGACGTGTAACAGTATATCATAGCCTTACAACTTTAAGACTTCGAAAAGTGGTGTTTTTCATTTCGTCAAAAGATCAAATCACGTCATGACGAGATCATAATATAGCTTGTGACGTCACAATATATTATGTATCTACGTATGACGTCATAATTGACATCCTGAATATCAACAAACATTGGCACGATTTCTCAAAGACTTCAATAATGGGCTGTTTCGCTTTCCAGAAATGTCTGAAACGTCGTAGGAAACCAAAAATCCATCCTTACATGACCGAAGAAGAAATGGAAGGTATACCACCTCAAGTACCTTGTGGAAAGAAGTACTACCGCCTGAGACTTGCTCCACCGCCACGTGGACTGGAGATCTTATTCACCTTTCCCATCTGCACTAGAGACGTGAGAGGCACTTGCTGCAGCAGGGACATTGACCCAATCTACCCATGTCCACCACCGCCACCTCCAAGTCCTATTCCGGTTAAAGCCGACCCCGAGCAGCCAACTCTTCCGTCACCAGCTGAAGCAGATTCTTCTTCAAACTAAACGATCGCATACTCCGCCCTGGACATTCGACTGCTCTATTTGTACATTATCTGCCTTGAAGCTCAAGCTCTCTTTCTCTCACTGTCTAGCATGAAAATATTTGCTGAACAAAATGACGAAAACACCACAGAATTAATTTAAAACAAAACTTTCATGGACAGTCACTCTGTAAGCAACAAATGGTAAACTGCCAAAGACGAGATAGAGGAATGTTTCTTGAGGAGCATCCTATGTGAAATAGGTTGTCTTCCATTTAAGGAGACGAGCCAGAGCCCGGAGTAATGTCAGCAGTATTCAGTTGAAATGGACAGAGAATATTTATTTACATGCTTATTTGAATTTAAATGTAAGATATACTTATTTAATAAATCTTATTTACGTAAAATATATTTTATCGTTTTTCATTATTTTGTGTATTTCTTAACGACTTTACAACCAACTGACACGGGATCAAACAAACTCTGTATTTCAGTATAGAATTATAGATTTTGCAATCGCCTTTCTTCCTTCCGTCCGTCCTTCTGTCCTGGTATAAACTTCGGTGTTTCCGAGAGGAAAAGGAAAGAACATTTTCGTATTGTGTTGACAGTCTTCAAATTGGTCTTAGCTGTGAGACTTCAGTGATTATCTAAGATACGCTATTGCATGTTCGAAATTCTACACGCATCTCTCTATTCTGTACTCATTTCTCTGCCCATATGAAAACAACAATGGCATTTTGTACAGTTTTATGACAGGACAGATCTAAATATTCTTTAAACTTCACATATATCAGTAGAACTCGTCTCCCCTAACAAATTCTGTCAGGCTATATGTAAAATACAAGTTCCTACTCGAAAGGTTGGCTGGCAATATCTGTAGTTTGTAGGCATTTGTTCAAGCAAAACCTAATAGACAATGAAAAAGCGATTCTTCGGGTTCAGAAATATATATACCGTCGTTCTATGTGTCTATGATATACCATTATGTCTAGCTCATCCCACAACGATACAAACCTGAAAAGCTTTCCTCCAAGCGTTATGATTTCGATTATCCTATTATGGATTTTCCATTTCTTGATAACAGCATTCCTGCTTCTCCAACTTAGGACGAGTCGCAGTTGGTTTGACATCAATTTTCGTGTAAGATATCGATAGCTGACAGATACAATCACCAGGCATGATTTCGCCCTGAGATGCAGGTTGGTGTAGATTACAGAAAAGTTTTATGGTCGTCGCATTCGGACATATTATGACGTTGGACGTAATTGATGCTTTAATGCTGTTTTGTTTTCCAGAGAGTTTCATTGTTGTTTACCTTACTCTCATTTGGCACGTGACATTGGATTGTCCGAGATAAGATGGATGTCGCCTATGATGCAGATTTAGATGTTTGCCCTTCTGAAACACCTCGTAAAGTTTGAGACGTCACCATTGTAAATCTTTCTTTTGTTCAAAGTTTCATCGAATTTGAGATTGAATTAAAATTTCGTTAATATATCCACAATTTTCTTTTGATATAAATAGGTTTGATAAGAAATTGGTAATATCATCATCTGAACAGGCGATATCACTATGACAAAATTATATTTCGTGTATTCATAAAAGCGATCTCAATGGGGCGCCGTTTTTATATCGATCTGCAAAATGTGAAAATGTGATATTTTTGTTTAATGATACCAATATCTCCGTATATTTGGTGACGTCAATAGATTTAATAATTGGATAAATTGTATCGTTAATGTATTTAACGATCGATTTATTAATATCAATAATTCAAATTATGATACTAATGGTTTAAGTGATATCACATCGGTTTGAAGATAAATACTAAAACGGCAGCACATCGATATCACTAATTCATTTCAATAATTAGAATTAGGTAGTAATGTCCATATTTGGAGATAAATACTAAAACAGCGCCCAATAAATACCATCTATTCAACATGGTTGTATAACCTAATCGTTTTAGTGATTACACCATAATGATTTTTGACATCACTACAGTTAATGAATGGCATCACTTAATCACATGGATTTGGCACAAATTCCCGATCCAAGACACGTTTCTGGTACATCTGGCCTTATTTTCCTTGCACTCAAATAAGACTGTGTGTAAATCTTTCTTTTGACAACATCTTGTCATCGAGTTTGAATTAAGATTGCTTTCAATTTCTAGTTTCATTTTCATAGTAATACTACGTCCGGTTCAAAAATACGAAACTATCGTGCGTAAAAGCTGAACCAAAACAAACGTTTTCAGTACGGTCATGGCGGAAAGGAAAGCATTTTCGTTCGGCTTTTCAAAGAAAGTTAACAACCGACCACTGGAAAAATCTAGATTAGAAGAGGACGTCGGGAAGGCTAATGAACAACACACAGATTTTGTCACATCACTTGAAGATCGAGAAGTAAAAGGGTAATGAACCGATGATTACTGACTTATTGAATTGGTCATAGGTTCGTTTACAGGCACCTGTATCAGATGTGAAAAAATCGAGCAAGATGCAGTCCATTATATTATTGTGATTTTTTCGGCAGTTTTAAACAGTCAGTACAGTTGGGAATTGCAAACCTTTTTGGGGAGAAATACAAAGTTAAATACATTTGTAATGGGGGTCATTCATGGCATCTAGTTATACAGGCAGGTAAATCACTGTTAAATAAATAATTGCCCTTTTGTTTTGAATAAATGATTGCAATGTATTTGGGGTTTTGTTTTTAAACATCCTCATAAGATTCAAGAGTGACTTTTAGCAAATAGATTTTTATGCAAAGTAATGTATTTAATCAGTTTCACATGCCTATTATTATTAGCTATAATATCGACAAATCATTATGTGCATGACCTGACCAGAGGCAAACCCCCTTTAAAAGTTTTTTACATGCATATCGATAATAACATTGAAGACAGTTGAAATACACTTCAAAAATAATTTACTTACCATCTAACTGTTGAAGTATAAGGTTCTAACAGTTGATAGATATATGCTTAGTAGAGATGAGAATATACAGTCAATGTTATAAAGGAAAATCAGGGCGCGACTATTTACCTAAATATACCCCAATATACCCAAATCTTTCACAAATATACCCAAATAAAGCCAAGTCTTACCCAAATATACCCCAATATACCCAAATCTTTCACAAATATAGCCAAATCTTACCCAAATATACCCCAATATATCCAAATTAAGCCAAATCTTACCCAAATGTACCCCAATATTCTCAAATAAAGCCAAATTGATTTACAGGAACGTGTCGTAACGGGCTCTGTATTATCAGGGATGTATATCTGTTATATACGTTCCTGGTATTATATTTCATTACTAATAAACGATATACACATGATCAAATAGACTATCTTTGTCTAATTTTAGCTTCCATTTACTAAGGCAATTCATATAAATTGCGTAATATCATATAGGCTAACAGACAAAAATGAAGTGAGAACGAATTTGGGTATATTTTGGTAAGATTTTGGTATATTTGGGTACGATTTGGCTTTATTAAGGTATATTTGGGAAAGATTTGGGTGTATTTGGGTATATTTGGGTAAATTGTCACGCCGGTCACAATCAGGCTGGCAAGGATGAAGAAAAAGGATTGAATATGTCATTCTATTCCAGGTCTTCGAAACCGAAAGAACCAAAAGAGAAAGAGTATGTCATTCCTCTGATATCCAAAAACAAATGGCGGCATCCAGATAAAGAGAAGAGTGGATTAGCTTCAGAAAGGGATGGAATAGACGACCAGGCAGTACAGGAACTCCTACAAGGTCTGTGTAAATGGTGTCAGAATGTGGTAGAAAGTAGTTATACCTACATAGTGTCTACGTTTAGTAGGTATGATATATCAAATAACTGTATAAGCCAGATATTTTGATATCTGGTTTTCTATAAGTTGAATTTGTCAAAAACATTGTCTATCAATTAGAAATGTAATTCATAAAAGAATCAACATGGAGATTGAATTTGTGAAACATTTTCGAGTCGTGCATTGGCGATCTTTGGGGATTACTTTTATTGTCTAGATTACATCATTATGAGGTAATACCTGTACAATCATCATAAAGGGAGACAATAGAATTGATTTGCCATTTGTTAAGGTGTGATGACAATAAAGAATTAAAAAGCAGTGAGGACTGGTTTGAAGAGTTTGAAAAACAGGTACTCTTTGCATAGTCTTTTTGTGGTACTTGCATTACCATGTTATGGAAAGGATACACTCAAATATTCCCTTCACACAACTATCATGATGTGCACTTAACAGAATTTTTTCAGTCTCGGAGATACATATTTGTTACATATGCACCTGAATGTTGTTAGTGGTATGTATTGTTTATAACAAGTAGAACAGATGATGTAGTATCTTAGATTCTTGTGTTTACAAGCAAGGTCACTGTTTAGTTTAATTGTTTCACCACTTTTTAAGATTAAACAATGCCCTTGATACATGTATGCACAGGTTCCACATCTTGTGTCCTCGCATTTTGACTTTTTATAGCAGCATTTATATTTAGCCAGCAATAGAAAAAAAAGACAAAAATTGTTTTCCATTGTCTTGTTCAGCAGTTATTTCCCTTGATACAGTAGAAAACAAATGTTATTGTTTGTTGTTTGATTCAGAAGTTAAATTGTCAACACTATAAACACTGGTCAAATTATCATTGTTACTATATAGCATAGCCAAAACTGAGGAAACAACTTACTATCTTATCAGCAACATTTAAATTTCCCAAGTTGGCCATGGGTTTCAATTTGAAGTACACTCTTGAAATGACTGTAATATGGTATTGTGCCATTTTTAGATGCTGCCAAACAAAATGATGATTGGGAAGACAGAGGAAAGATTGATCCAAACGTGGCCATACCCTTGATAATGAGGAACAAGGTGCCAGAGGGATATGAGACAGACGACAAACTGGATGTAGCCCTGCGACCTGATGAGGTGTGTTTAAAGTCTGAAAGCTACAAACAGATTAGATGTCTTATTTTGAACATTGTACAAATGCCATCTTTTAAACCAGATTATCGTAATGTTTTGATAGAATTTTGAAACTGTTGTCAATGTTCAGAGTAGTAAACCCTTCAAAATATAATATCTTGCTTAAGATGCGAACTGTTTCAAATGCATGCTGATCTTGATTTATCAAGGTAAAGATATTACTCGAAAAAATCAATATGATTTCATATATTGGAGTTTTGTCTAGCCTCACTGATTTGGCAATCAGCAATTGTCATCTGAATATTGGGCAGGCTTGTACAGAAATAGGCGAAGCTGGAGGAGGCCTTCCTCTTTTGCATTAGGTGTGGATAGTTAAAAGTTTGCTCTTTAATTTCAGGTTGATGTTGACTATGAAGAGATTCCCATTGAACACTTTGGGGTTGCTATGTTAAGAGGAATGGGTTGGAAAGATGGTGAAGGTATAGGGAAAAGTAAACAGTAAGTACATTTGTATGGCTGATGTTACCAGTTATAAATTAGTTCTTCAAGATTTTGTTAGAAGTTATCAGTGACAGCTGAAAACATGTTTATTGTAACTATTGGTCAAAATACAATTTTAGCATTTCATTTGTTACTACAGACTATACACTATGTGAATTACATGTACTTAAGTTATCACTCTCTTGAAAGGGTCCTAATTGATGGAACTCTGTTCCTTGCAAAAGATATTTCATTCTTCACATGTATATTCAGATAAAAACATATAACAGGATGTATTCTCTGTCCATTTGAAAACTTCTTTTGAAATAGAATTTATTCTGAAGAAAAGTACTATTATTTGTTTGTGTAAAGGACCATTGTCCCTGTTGAGGCCAAGTTAAGACCAAAAGGCCTTGGCCTGGGAGCAGACAGGAGCAAGGCAGCACAGCTCAACAACGCTAAGGCAGGAGGGGGTGATAGTGGTGACCAGGATGAAGAGCAACTGACATTGAAGATTGGGGCATACTGTATGATACAAAAGGGGCCACACCAAGATCGCTACGGAATAGTAAGTATGCCGTACATATGGGACTTGATGAAGAATATGGCCAAACTATGCTGTTACCATGCTAATTACGATATACATAAATGCATCAAAAAAAGAAAGAAAAATTGGTGACAGCTTATCTGTGGTATTGTTTGTAGTGTTACGGCTGCTCAAGGTGAGGCTTTGTGTTGCAGTACAAGGACTGTATCATATCAAATATCAATATGTATAACTTAAATACAATATATACATAATATTATATACATATATATATTAATTATTGAGATAGTCTTTAAGAAAATACTCTAGCCTTTAGGAATTCTAGTGATTACAAGATGTATTTTAGCTCTGTTGTCTGTTTTATCAGCGCATACCGTCTTAGGAATATTCTAGATGCTGAGGATAATTATTAGTAGCATGGTATTATTAAGGGCTTTGAGATTTGATCAAATTAATGGCCTTGACAAACCCAGTGATAAAAAAAACATGCAAATCCTGAGTCCCTTACTTATAGAATTTTGATGACACTCATAGAATTTCTTGAATTAATTAATTTCTTCATTGTGGAATCCATTGGTTTTAGCAATAGTGTTTTCAGAAAGTGTACAATTGCAATTCTTGACATTGTAACACCTACCACTATAACACTTGATATTATAATGACGACATCTCAGGTGACCTATTGCGATCGCCTTTTGTCCGTCTTTGTGCGTCATAAACAATTTATATTTTTTATTTCTTCCCAGAGTTCATAGGCATCAAATATTTGTATTAATTTTTATTTGGAATTACAAAACAGGTTGGTAGTCAAGGAAGTTCAATGTTTTGAAAACTTCAGTGCAGGGCCCTAAGAGTTGGATTTGTTAAAAATTTCTGCAGATGACCTTAAAGTTCACATTTGCTACAACCAATACTTTACAGGCTTTAATCTTTATGCTAGATTTTGGATAAGGCAGCTTTGTTAGTTTGTGATTGTCAGTTGTTCAAAACAAAAATTCAACTCGGGGGACAGTTAAGGACTATGGGCAATTCACCATTACTGTCTTTGACTTTCAGATACAAGGTTTGGATGAGGACAATGCCCGGTGCATGGTCAAGTTGGCAGTCAGTGGTTTGATGATTACAAACAGCCAGTATTCCCTCAAACTTGTTGGCAAGAAAGAATACTCAAAATATTCCAAATACCTCAGTGAGTGATTTTTGTCTTGGTAACAATTGTTTTGCCTTTACATATCAGCATGATAAATGGCCTCCTTTTAAATCTCAATGCAAGAAAAACTCAATTATTTTGATAAAATTTTTTCTTGAAAACTGTTAATTGTAGAAAGATTTCCACAAAGTAAATTAAAGTAACATTTATTTACTGTTAGCAAATAGTGAAATAGAACAATATCAAGGAAAATTTAACAGAAAAATGAAATGTTTTTTATTACAGACAAAAGTAAAGTAGATAAATATAAGGAAGAAGAGGATAAAAAATTGAAGCGTGAATCAGACAGTCACAGACATAAAAAGAACAAACATGATAAGGAAGACAGACAGGAGAGGAAAGATAGAGAGAGACACCATCATCATGATGACCAAAGGAACAGAGATGATGGACGGAAAGACAGATTGAAGGAAGAAAGGGGATATAGAGACCGTGGATCAGATGTTGAGACAGATAAAGGGAATGAGAGACTACAGGAGGGAAATGATCGTCATGGTGACAGGAAACGAGAAAGAAACAAGGACCATCAGTATACATCGAGTAGCAAAAAGAGAAAACATAATGAAGAGAGGTAGTCTACATTTCCTTGTTAAGTATGAAGTGATAAAATAAGGATTGCAGCTGTATGGTTTATGTGTGGCAAATCTAGCCTCATTCTGCAAATATATAATGAAGATTTTCAAAATACTTTTCTTGAAATATATGAAGACTTTCTAGAATTTACTAACTTCATTACTTTCATTCGTGATGAAAGTTAGCATGAAAGTGTTCTTAGTAAATAAGTTTTAAATAATCAGGCAATAAAAAAGTCCATGACTAGTCATGTGCTAGTCCTTACATGTCTACTACAAGGTCATGATCTACTTGGAATCAGGGCATTTCAATTTGCCTATCTTCAACAAGATTACGTTTTATATTATGAGTCAAATTCATTGAATTCTTTTGTTTTCTCTGTCAGAATTTATGAGTATGTAATGTATATCTGAGGTTGTCACCCATATCTTCCAACAAAAACCATTCCACCACATTGAGAATGAAAGCCTGCTGCCATATAGGTCTTTATTTTGGAAATCTATCATAAACTTGTACAACTAACAAAACACAAAGAAGACTTGGATAATTTTCTTTTTGTTAGGAACATATTTCACCAGTAACAGGTAGTATGCTATAATGACAACAAAAAATTTAGAACAGTATGTTAGATTTTTTCCATTGTTGCTGCACTTTACCATATCTACAGGACATCAAATCTGTCAGTGTCACTAAATATAATTCCTATGATGTCATCACTTACCTGTAACTTTGAAAACCAAGTACTATCCCTCTTGTATTTTTGATTCCGTAGCTCATGGTTGATGTCAAGTGATGTCTGCCCCAATAGCGATTAAAAGAACTTTCATTCATTACATATAATTTACCTCAAACTTTAAGTTGAGTATACTGGTAATCAAAACTTAGTCACTACCTGAATACCTCTTTATTAATGAGAGCAGATTTAAACTACCAGGTTGTCATATGTGATCACTTACGACAAATCTAGATATTGATTTTATTTGAAGTAAGCCTCTATCATTTCAGGGAGGCAATTAATAGACTATTGAAATACCATTGGAATATTTTAATTCAATTATAAAGTCACAATATATTGTTACCCATATGATATATCCTTGTGTCGGAAAAAAATTTAAGATATTTTTTTCAGATAAATTTTCTGTTTTTCAAGTTCTAGGTCCTATCCTCAGGATCACTATGGAAATAGCAATGGCCACAAACAAAATTCCCCAGCCTCACTCTGGATATGTCCACAGCTGAGGGTTAGAGTGGTGGACGACAAATACAAAAAGGGGAAATACTTCAATACAAAGGTACAGTATTTTGGGATATTGATATAGAATTGTAGATATACCTTAGTAAAATTAGTGTAATTAGGTAATCTCATAATCTTTTACACCTTAGTTTGTACAATCACAGAGTATAAAAATATGCTTTTACTGATGACTTCCAAAACTATTGTATATTGGTAGTACTTGTCATATATTTTCTTATTAAAATCCAATTATAACTCTGACACCCAATTTTGACCTTTGTTTTCCAAAGGTCAGTTATTTAGTGGATTGATTATCATGAAATATGTTTTGAGTCAAAATTTGTTAACTTGAATTCTGATAACTCAGAGGCCCTTTTTGACTTGAAGCACTTTTCTGGTCCAAACCAAATCTCTTCTTTATCTTATTGATAAGTAATTTGAAATTGAAAAACACGAAGAACTGATATCTTGAAGTAAAATAAGAGCTCGAATTGCAGAAGCCCTTGGTAAAGGTATCCCATTATTCTTTTTAATCTGAATCCAGTCAACTATAAATGCATCCTATTTATTTATAATACAATTTTCATATTATAAATACCAGCTTCATCAATGTTGATTGGCAGTACATACAGCACTTGCTTGAATCTGATCAACAACATTAGTTTGATAATAACACATAAGTCAATGAATATATGAAGTAAATTAATATGCTCAGCAGTCAAAATTGAAAATAATGACTAGTTTTACTGATTTAGGAGTATTCAACAGTTTCAAATTTATTGAATTCATTTAAATATTATAGCACTGTTTATTGAAAATAAAAAATCGTGCTGGTAGGGAAGCAACACTTTTTATGGGCATGCTCAATATTCCAACTCATAGACTTTGTGGTAGATACTTTCGAAAAAGCACTTTGTCATTTTTGACGTTGACTCTTTGAGTAAAATGAGTCGGAGACCTCCTGGTATATCATAATATCCACATCTGTATAATGTTGGGTTAATCTCATACTGATGAAATAACATGTTAAATTTTACATCAACCATGAGACCACACTGAGCACAATTTTCAGATATGCAATATTTTAAGACCTTAAGCTAACAAAATTCAACTACCGGTATATAAATATGAACAAAGTAGCAAAGAATCTCACACATATAATGGGACATTTTTTTCTGGGATTTTTATGCAAGTGGAAATTAAGTTAAACTGATTAACATATTTCTTTTGTGATTACTGGTATAGTCAGTGATGGATGGTTATGTCCCTTTGACAGTCTTTCAGAACTTCTTCACAAGCATGTTCTTAAAACTGAAATATGTAAAGTTTTGTCAGATAACTTCCAGATTAATGTTTTGTTGCCAAACAATAGATACACTGATAGATGTTATTTATTGTTACAGGTTGAGGTTATTGACGTTCTTAGTCCAGATAATTGTGTATGTAGGACAGACAATGGCCGTGTTCTAGAAGGTATTTACATATCTGTATTTTCTCTATTTCTTTACTAATTTATTGATAATATATACAATTTATGTCTATTTCACAAGTGCAAAGACTGAAAATTTTTGAAATTCTATAAATATATTTCCAGCTGATGAGATATCATGACCTTGACAGTTAATTACAGCCAATGTTAGACATTAATTTTTGACTATCAATAGCCAAAATCTTACTGTATATGAATATTGATTTCTGTATTGATACATGCATATTCCATTCTAGAGTCAGTGATAATGAACTTTTTGTTCTGATGTTGTAGGTCTTTCACAGGAAATGCTAGAAACTGTAATACCCAAATCAGAACCATCATTTGTTCAGTTGGTCACAGGAAAATGGAAAGGACAGGTTGGTTTTAATAGTTACATGAATGGTTTGACAGTCTCTGGCATTTGCATATTTTCTTCAGGATTGTATAGTGATAATTCATATTTAAAAAAAAAAAGTAAATAAATACTTATGATTTGAAATAACAAGCACTTTTACAATTGATCACACTTCATCTTTTTGGGGACTTCCTTAGTCATTCAAATTTGCAATCATACATAGAGAATAAATTTCTGGCATTGGGCTTATTTCAGGGGGCACAATCATTGATAATTATATATATTTGGCATTTAATTCATAGAAACACTTAGATATTGATAGCAGATTGATTTATTTAAGTCTTGCAATTATTGTCTTTTTTCAGTTGGCTGAATTGATGAAACGTGACAAGTCAAACTGTATGGCAGTTGTCCAGCTGCTGCAAAACAGAGATGAAGTCCTGAAGATATCCTATGACAGTATATGTGAATTTGTTGGAGATATAAATGCTGAATTTGACTATTAATGAACATTTGAACAGACCAGAATAGTTTCTCAACACAGGATAAATCAGTGTCAGTTTTTGATTGATAATAAAGGCAGGTGCAAACAAAACCGTGTTTTGTAAACTGTGAAAAGCACTGGAGTTTTAAGATATAGAACAGATTTTGAGCTTTAACTTATTAAATGGTTTTTTTTTTTTTAAGAAATTTATATTTATTATGTGATATCCATGGCAATTCAAAATCAAAATTTTTCAGTTTTGTCTGGTTCATTATGAAATATTTCTGCAGGTCATTAAAGACATTGGGAACCAATTTTACATTTCTATCCCCCACCAGGCAAAGGTTGGAAGGGGTTGTATATGATACTCTAGTGCCTGTTCAGGGGGGAGGGGTCTGGTTTGTATTGGTGTTTTTTAACTGAGCTGTTTACTGTCAATATTTTTATAGCTTTCACGTAAACAATATTCTAATTTCAGTGTTTCCGAAAATGTATCTCACCAAAACCATACAAGATAATTTCATCAAACGTTTAAGACACATTGCTTCAGTGGTCAGTTAGTATGTTTTGCTATTTAGGAGTTTCCAGTTTGGATATTTTGTTGGTTATCACGGGAAGAAGTTATCAAAATCACTGATTTACACTTTTCCAGAGCTTATCTCCGTGACCTTTTTCTTAAAAACTTCCTACACACATCATTTGAGTGGTCTGGTAGCGTCTTCTGCAGAAGATCTAGAGCTTTCAGTTTTGATATTATTTTAGTTACCATGAAAACTGATTCCAGTGTTTCTGGAACATATCTGCAAAACTGTTTAAAATAACTTCATTTATAAGGCTTTATTCCATCCTTCATATTGACCATTACCTGTAAGCATCCTATTAAATGATCTTGGTAAAGTCTCGCATGGCGAGGGGTTCTGAACAATTATTTCTTTCTTTTCATTCTTTAAATTTTCCTTTTGGCAAGTAAAAATTGTTTCACAAACACTTGATGCTGATGGAAATAGATAGAAATAAATGATGTTCAAACTAGATGTCTTGATAATGATATGGCAGGTTATGTATGGTATGGTATATACCTGAACTGAAACTAAAATATTCATTTGAAATAGACATTTTGATGCAGTGCTGTTGTCGTTTTCATAGTATCTTTTTTCCTGATTTGTTTATAAAGTGGCAATGCCTTCCAAATATGCATAAAGATACAGGTATTGGATGAATTTTTCACAAATTTCATTTGTTCGATCCTAATTGTGCCCTTTCAATTTTGGACAGCAAAATAGCTGACGAGTGCCCATTTTTATTTTGACAATGAAAGTTTATCACTACTTTTAGGTTAATCGACCCATTGCTGTTTAACTAAAACAACAGACAGTGTTACGAGTTCAGTTTAATTGAAAATTAAGCTTCAAACTCAGAAACAATCAAAACTTTGTAAGTATGCACACATCAGTTCTGTTCTGTTTGCCCCAATTCTGGGACTGTGAGGACAGGTTCTAAAACTCCCAAGGCCTGAAAACTCTGTTAAGGCCAATGGGCCTCTTGTTTCTATAGTTGTGCTTTTGCGATTTTAGGATTGATTAGAACAAGAGGCCCATGGGCCTTAACGGTCATCTGACAAAAAGCAAGCCAAACCTAGAAAGTGGGTTGAGGTCATTCATTTGAACAAACTTGGTAGCCTCTCCTCCAAGCATCTTACAGGCCCAATATCAGCAATCATGGACTTTTGCTTGTTGAGAAGAAGTCGTTTGTATATTTTAACATATTTGACCCCTGTGACCTTGAAAGTGGGTTGAGGTCATTCATTTGAATAAACTTGGTAGCCTTTCCTCCCAGCATGCTACAGACCCAATATCGGCACTCATAGACTTTTGCTTATTGAGATGAAGTCCTTTGTATATTTTAACATATTTGACCCCTGTGACCTTGAAAGTGGGCCAAGGTCATTCATTTGAACAAACTTTGTAGGGCTCCATGCCAGCATGCTATGGGCCAAGTATTAGCCCCCTAGGCCTTCTAGTATTTGAGAAGAAGTTATTTAAAGATTTTGACATATTTGACCCCTGCGACCTTGAAAGTTGTTCAAGGTCATTCATTTAAATAAACTTGGTAGCCTTTCCTCCCAGCATGCTACAGACCCAATATCGGCACTCATAGACTTTTGCTTATTGAGATGAAGTCCTTTGTATATTTTAACATATTTGACCCCTGTGACCTTGAAAGTGGGCCAAGGTCATTCATTTGAACAAACTTTGTAGGGCTCCATGCCAGCATGCTATGGGCCAAGTATTAGCCCCCTAGGCCTTCTAGTATTTGAGAAGAAGTTATTTAAAGATTTTGACATATTTGACCCCTGTGACCTTGAAAGTTGTTCAAGGTCATTCATTTAAACAAACTTGATAGCCCTTCATCCCAGCATGCCACAGGCACAATATCAGCAATCTGAGCCTTTTGGTTATTGAGAAGAAGTTGTTTAAAGATTTTAACATATTTGACCCCTGTGACCTTTAAAGTGGGTCAAGGTCATTCATTTGAACAAACTTGGTAGTCCTTCATCCCAGCATGCTACAGGGCTTATTTTAGTTGCCTGGGCCTTTTGATTACTGAGAAGAAGTCCTTTGAAGATTTAAAGACATTTGACCCCTGTGACCTTGAATGAAGGTCAAGGTCATTCATTTGAACAAACTTGGTAGGGTTTCATCAAAGCAAGCTACAGGCTAAATATTAGTTGCCTGGGCCCTCCAGTTATTGAGAAGAAGTCGTTTGAAGATTTTAAGACATTTGACCCCTGTGACCTTGAATGAATGTCAAGGTCATTCTTTTTAACAAACTTGGTAGGGCTTCATCAAAGCAAGCTACAGGCCAAATATTAGTTGCCTGGGCCTTCCAATTATTGAGAAGAAGTCGTTTGAATGAAAAGTTTACGGACGGCGCACGGCGGACGGCGCACGGCGGACGACGACGGACGAAGCATGATGACTATAGGTCATCGGACCCTTCGGGTCAGATGACCTAACAACAAAATGGCTGACAGGAAGCCATCTTGGATTATTCTCAATAGTTCACATGGTAAGAGCTTCCCCCTTATTTTGTCGTTTCATTTTGAGGCTGATCAGAAAAGCAAGAAAGCTGACAGGCCGTCTCTGATTTTGACAATGACAGTTTGGGACTGGATTGATCTTTCTCACACAGATGACCATCTTGAATCACATTCATTATTTTTTTGAGAGAGATTTTCAAATTCCAAGTAAATAACAGCAGCGACAGGAAAGGAGAGTTAAGAAAGAAAAAGATGAGAACTTTTAATGAACAAATAAAGATCAAAACAAGGTGGGTGTCAAGGTCCCTTTAGGATCTCTTATTTACTTCTCCATGCACTCTGATAATTAAATAAAGAGGTGTTTCTCACTGTCCCCTGTCTCTTCTGCTATCACACTTCCTTGTTATCATGTCAGAAGCTGACTGTAGGGAGGGACATATTTGTTACTACTTCATGTCTGTCTTTGAGGTCCATACTGTGTATGATTATTTAAGACAGACGTTTTATTTCGTTTAATACACATTAGGTCAAAATTAAAGTCTGAAAGAAAGGCTGGAAGAAACTAAGGTACTATTAAAGGTGATTTGAAAATTCTCAGTAAATATTGGCTTCACCTTTACTGTGATCACTAGGACTATTGACTCTCTGTCTTGGTCGTTTTGGATGGGATCTCCTTGAGAAGCTGAAGGCTACCAATACAACCACTTCAACACAGACCAGTCAGTTTATAGGCAATCTGACCTAAAGGCAAATAATTGTGAAATTCAGAAAGTTGATATGACCACTACAGAGTTAGGGATGGGGCCCTAAATGGGGAAGTTAGTCAAATATTTTGCTCCAAAATGCTACTCTTTCTTAATGCTTGAATAAGTTCAACCAAGTCCAAAACATTAAGTAGGGTGGAGAAATAATAAATTAAAAAAAATGATTCAACCCCTAGGGACTTCAGGACGGGGCCCTAAGTGGGGAAGTTAGACAATAGTGGGACACCTGGACTGGTGTGCTAGATTAAGGAGGTTGTTAGACAAGGAGCTGGTGGTGACTAGATTTTGGGACACCTTGACAGATGTGTAAGATGAATGAGGCTGATAGATGAGGAACTGGTGGCGACTAGATATTGGGGCACTTAGACTGGTGTGTTAGATTAATGAGGTTGTTAGATTTGGAACTGGTGTTGACTAGATATTGAGACATCCTGACTGTTGTGTTAATTTGATCAGGCTGTACATTAGGAAACTGGTGGTGACATGATAGGTGGACATCCAGACTGGTATGTTAGATTAATGAGGCTGTTAGATTGGGAACTAGTGGTGACTAGATATTGGGGCACTTAGACTGGTGTGAAATTAATGAGGTCGTTAGTCAAGGACCTGGTGGCAGCTGGATATTTGCACACCTGGGTGTTTGATAGAAATTAATGAGACATGGTTACATATCATTTCCATATTTATTATGCAATAGACCAATGGCTACCCATTTCCATTGATTTTCACTATAATCTTCCATCAATCTACGATAGAAATGAAGGATTACCTTTTTTAGCCCAAAAAGATTAGTGAACTTAGGCCATACTGTCCATCCATCCATTTTATTAAAGTTTTCTGCATCATTACCAGTCATGAACGACTGAGCAGATTTTGATCAAATTTGGTCAGATGCATCTCTAGGGAAGGCAGAAGATTCTGTCATAAATGATAGGTCTTTGCCCTTTGGGGCCTAAATGGCAGTGCCAAATTGAGGAAACTGAGCAAATTCTTCAAAAACCTACCTTATTATTGGATTTTACCCATATTTGATTTGAAGCATGCTTGGGTGGAGAGGAATGAATTTTGTATAAACATTTAGCGCTCAATAGGAGAAACTGGATAAACCATGAAAAAGAAACTTTAATGAAAAGTGATTCTGATTTCTGTTTGACTGCAAGGCCAAGGCCCAATGGGGAAATTATTTCAGAATTTTTTTGTCATATTTGAAACTCTTTGTAAAATGACTGAATAGCTGAATAAGCCAGGTGAGCAATGCAGAACCTTGGCCTCTTGTTCTGTTATACTTAAAAAGTACAAACAAGTATCAATTGTAATGATCAAATAACTAATTCTATATTTTTAGAGTATCCATTTGCAATGGATCTTTTTCAAATAAATCTGATAAAAGTACAATAAAACCAACAAACAGCTAACATGTAACATCAATACTTAAGTAATTGATAAAAAGGTCTGATGAGATTAATCAAAGGAGCTTATAATTAAGGATTAAGTACATGGTAGCCTCATTACAATGTAATGAAACATATCTTAAGAATTTTCTCTAAGGATTTGATCCAATATCTAAAGAATGTTTATATGTCTCTTATGAACAGATTCTGTTGCTTGAATCAAATCATAACCAAGTATATCTCTGATAATAAATTTTCCCTGAGGATTCTATCCAATATCTAAAGAATGTTTTTGCGTCTCTTATGAATAGATTCTGTAGTTTGAGCATAGGTTTTACCAAAATTGTAGTCAGCTATAGGACGTTTGTTTCCCGTTTGGTGGTGACTTTTCATTGGCTGAAAAAAAAGGTGATCATCATTTGTTTTAAAGTGCAAGACCTAGTCACACTGAAACTGCATGTTACATGTTGTCTAATAGTTTACTCTCTGTATTTCAATACACATACTTTGAACAAAATTGAAAGATGGTTACCAGAAAAGGATTGCAACTCCTCAACAGAATACAAAAATAAATATCAAATACGCAGCTTTCCAAGATAGCAATGTTTGTACCAATTTAGTTTGAGACTGTGAAAGAAACTGTGACAGTACAATGGAACTTGGAAAGAAGAATTACCCAAACTTGAGGAAAATTGTAAACAATTTGCCAAATCTACCCATCAAAAACCACAAATGTTCAAGAGCCTAACGGTCTACTAACTACATCTATAGTTATTCAGAACTGGTCATAGTGGGCAGGTTCAACAAAAACAGGTGGAGGAGGTACAAGCAGTGTGGTTTTCAAATAAATGTTTAGAGTTAAGATTGATTTGATAGCCAAAGTATGTAATTAAAATGTACCTAGGCATTAGTCTTTGACTTGTTCCCAATATGAGAATATGACACTGCTGAATGATATTCACAGTAGAAACCCTTCATCCAGTGACAAGGAGCAAGGCCAAAAATATAGGAAGTTGGCAGCAAGTGACTGGGATTCAAAATTGTATCTCAAATATGGAGTTAACTCCATAGACCAACAAACTGTCCCACACCTTGGAACTTTAGTCTCCAGGTCATATCACAGGTCCCTTCTCTACATATCAATTTGTAGATAGCAAAAGAATACACTAATTCTCAATGACTCTTGTGATGTTACTTTGTTGCTATGCCTTAATTCAAGCATGTTACAGGTCCAGTACCACAACCTCCAGCCCCTTGATTTTTTAAAATAAGTCATTGACAGATTACACCCATTTAATTCCTGTGACCTTGCACGTGGGTCAAGGTCGTTACATGTACATATTTACTAGCCCTTCATCCCTGCATGCTACAGGCTTAATATCACAATTCCAGGCTACTTGGTTATTATCAAAACCAAGCAAGTGAGTTTGTTTTAACAAACTTGATAGTCTATATTTGCTGCTGGTAAATTACCCTAATGCTGAACCCCATGTGCTGCACCTTGGCATAAACTCACATGCCTTTCAGGATGAGATGTCTAATTAATAGAATATGATTAGATCGGATCAGGTAACAAAAGTTACATTTCAGTTACAAAACAATGTTTCTATGTATGTATCAAAATGATCTAGAATTAAGGATCATGCTGACCTTGTCGCTGTATTTTTCTCCCTCTTTGATAGATCCAACAATGCTGAGAAGGTCATCATCATATTCCTTATAATGATGAGTGTTATTCTGGTTCTTTGCAGCTGAAAAAATATTTCAAGATCAGCAACCTTAACTCTTAAAAAACAAAATGGATTGAAATGACTGAAACATTGAGATATCATGAAATGAAGTGCTTTGAAGACAAACTACTTCCAAGTCACAGCTTGTAAAAAAATAATTATATGGAAATTCTTGGTTGGAAACAAAAACACTGAATAGCAAATTGCTCATCTCGGACTTTGTGCCAGGCAGGTTAAAAATGAGAGGAGCTGATTTGGAGAATGAACGAAATGCTACCACTACAAAACAAAACAAAGTATTTTGGGTTTCCTGCCAAAATTGCCATTGTAAGTGACATTAGTGAAATGGTCTAACGTATTGTATAACAAATACTTGATGTCTACAATCTACAGTTTCATTCTTAGCATAGGAAGGCATGAAAGCAGATCATATCCAATATATGGTCTAGAATGTCACACACTGTCAACGAATACATACCTGAATTGAATATCCCATTTCTGTCTCGTTTTACTTTCCGCTGAATAACAATTTTTGTAACAGAGAGTGACGGGGAGGACTCTCTACTGCTTGACTGAAATGTGATTTGTTGAAATAAATATTTATTTGTGTATCAGTGTATCATTACAGCTGTTTCAATATTATTTCATTGTTTTGGTTATTTTTGAAAATCAAAGACAATTGTCAATAACTCAAGATTTTAAATTCCATTTTACTTATAACAAACAAGTGAGATCTTTTGATCTTTAATATTTACATGACTCATTAATATGTCTACTCTTGAAGATACTGTGAAGTAATTTTACTTAATCTTTATGTTTGGATTGTATGGAATAACTGGTGAAATAAGTTTTTTTTTTAATTCTAACACACAACTTGTTAATGAGTAGTACAATGGTATGGAATATGTCTAAGTTAACAGTTGCTTATCATTGCTTTATTGGGCTTATAAAACCTTATAAATGTTGATATTTTGTAAAAGTAGGTCTTGTTCAGTGTTGTACAAGAAACCACATGAAAAAGGTCACTAGGTTAAATGTCAAGGCTGCAGAGATCAACTTTTGTTTTTCTTAGCAGAAAGATATTTTGCAATGACATTTGGAAGCAAAATAGTCCAAACTATTCCATATAATACATTCTGTACCTGAATTTTATCAAAAAGCAAGATGTTTCTCCTTATTTCACAAAAAAAAACAAAAAAAAAACACCCTATTTGGTTCTCCTCAAAAAAGATATGTAGACAAATCATGGTAAGGATGACAACTTACCGTATTTTGACTGTTGCTTTGTCCATATAACTCTCTGTGACAGAGGTGAAAATAAAAAAAGTTAAAATATCACATGGTGTTAATCAGAATATCTTTCATACCATTACCATGAATGGCAGGACTACAGATACATAAACCTACCAGTTCATCACATTATAGATCACAGCTATAGATTTTGTTTTAAAAGATAGAGTTTTCACCAATGACCTTTTTCTGATGTTGATGTTTTGCTTAAAAGTCCAATGTTTAATATCAAACTAAGTAGCATTGGCAAGAAGATTGAAAACATGAGTATTACCGTGAACTGATATAGCTGCTTGATCTAGTAGTTGAGTAGGTTGAATGTGGCTTCTGATGACATCTTTCAACTGAGACTTTATCACTGAAATCATACACTGAAGCTTTTTGAGATACAGTTGGATGAGAATAGGGCTGTGGATCTAATGCTCTACTCACTGGAGCATTTGGTCTTGGAGATCTGTTGAATTTGTTTGTCTTTAGAAGGTTGCTAGTGTTTTTTCTGTTGTAGCTTTGTCCAGGGTTACATTGCCAAACAAAAGGCTTGTTAGACATAGCCTCATTGCATTCTTGCTGAGGTTCCTGTCTCATGTCATGTCTCGGATCTTGTCTATTTTCTGGTGTTGCTTCTGTCTGTGGTGTCTGCCTTGCCTGCTGCAGAGGTATCCTTGGTGGATTATTTTGTCTTCTTTGTTGGTAGGACATGCTGTTGCTGAAACTAACATTCCCTTGTCTTCCATCTTCTTGGGAATCATTCTGCGTTGATGAAATTCTCTGGGATTTTTTATGTTCATTGTTGTTATTGGGAGGATTCTGTACTGTTTCTTCAATAGAATTTCCCCTGGTTTCCATTAGCCGTTGTGACCTTCTTTGTGGCTGAGCACTTCCTCTTGGTTTGGGCTTTGCTACTTGCTTCTGTTCATCAGATGAGAGAGTTTGTTTGTCATTAACAAACACTTTATGAGATAAATCCTGATCTTTTTGCTGTGGATAAACCGTAGCAACTGGAGAAGGGTTTGATTTACTGAACAGCTGCTTTGCTGTCCAATTTGATAGTCTAATATTACCAGGTGATATTAATGGATGTTTAAATTCTACAGAATTGACATCTTTGTCTTGCTTACTATTCTCCTTTTCTTGAGACTCTAAGAATTGAGAGTGCAACATATTGGATCTTCTGATTGGCATTTCACAATTTTTCTTATTCTGACACTCTTCGTTTCTTTGGTTTATTTCCTTTCTGATTCTTTCAATTTCTTTAATATGGTTGATATGCATCTTATCCAACTGATCCTGAAATTTTTTTGGTACAGATTCATGATAGTCAGAAAATCTCCTTTTCCCAATCCATAAAGGTTCATCATGCCCAGAATTTAACGACGCAACATTTTCAGAAGACTTTTCCTCAAACTTCTGATCAATAAAGCCCTTTAAGTTGTCCTGTTGTATGTTGATATTCTCTTTCATTTGCTGGCAATGGTTGTCATATAGTTTTTTAGAATAATTGATAGACTCCTGTACGTTATCCTCCAAACCAGCTTGAATAAATTTCTTCAAGTCCTCAGTTTGTCTCTGTGTTGTGCAAACCTTGTCCTTAAAGATATTCTCTAGTTCATACTTTTGATTTTCTAAGTCCTGACGTAGCATCATCAACTCATCTAAAATGCTGAAGAAATGTTAAAAAGAAAGTTGACTGGTACTTGATAAAACAATGTGCTTCAATGAAAGCTTACTTTTAAGAAATTCAATCAAAACCAACATAAAGGTATCACTATCATTTTTTCTTTTTTGGAAGTTTGAATGTTCCTTATAAATTGCAACACAGAATTTTTCCTCATGCAAAAAGATTAAAATATATCTCTTTTGTCTTTGCTATCACTATTTACTGTCATAAAAAGAAAACAGGTCTAGGCAATCCATTAACTTAACTTAAAACATTTTGAAATTGTTTCTTCTATTTCTAAAATACCTTCATTTTACAATTTGTTTTCATTCACATATAGGCTGCGCTGGTATATAAGCCGCACGACCAATTCATGAGGAAAAAAGTTGCGGCTTATTATCAGGAGAATATGGTAGTAAAATTGTGTCATCAATATTTACCATTTATCGTTAGTGCCTGTTTGTGCTCTTACAGCATCTTGAACATCTAGGAGCAGTCGGTGCTGCTGATCCTGGCCGTTTCTCTGCTGGTAAATCGCCTCCTTCTGATGATCCAGTAACTCAGTAGTGATGGCTGAAAGCCTTTCAAGCTTCTCTTTTGTCACTGCCTGATGTTGGTCTACAACTTCCTTCACTGACTGAACAACACTCCTAAATCCTCTTTCATGTGCATCCTTTAATTGCTGTTCCAGTTCTTGGATTCTTTCTTCTTTCTAAAAAAATATTCAACAACTGGGAGTGGTATCATTATGCTTATAAGGATCTTGTTGACAAGCATTACATAAGAATATTATATATCAATGGTAAAACTGGCAAAAAGATATAAAATATTGCAAAGTGCCAAACTATAAAATTTTCAAGCTGTATTGCAGGTATTCTTGATTCAAATCTACTCTGTTGTTTTAATTTAAACACTCCTATATGGAATTAGTTTCTTCTATGCGAATTATTCTGAATTCTGTGAATTTTAGCCTTTGATTAGATAGTAAAACTTCAGTACATGTAATAGCAATTGAATATTTACAAATATGAATTATCTTTCAAACTTACCAAACAAATGAAAGAACCTACCTGTTTTATTTCTTGTTCCAAGATGTTTTGTTGATTCCTTTTCTGATCTCGTTCCTGTACAGCGGCAATCATTTTCTCATAGTTCTTTTGTATGTTTTGAGAAACTGTAAGACATACTTTTTTGAATATAAAACGAAATATTTTGACTATATTTTTACATGTGGTGCTGTTAGTTAAACCATGAGTAGTTTAAATTGTGTATTCCTCAAAACTATTTTATTCCATAGTAAACAGAGAAGTGGTTGACACATACAAAACCTGAGTTATGACTATCTGGTAAATGTTATAAGTTCATGATATTAATAATGATAACATATCTCCACTTAGAGTGATAAACTTCAAGTTACTTTACATTCATATGAATACTGCTGTGACACAATTTATGACATATAAATATGTTGTTTTTTTTTTTACAAACATGGCAAAAAATTAATTGACAAGAATAATAAATTCATCATAGCTGAGAATTTCAAATTCCCCAAGAGGTACCCAGCCAAATCTAAGTTTTCAATGAGAGGCAATGTCATGCCAAAGTTAGAACTGTATACAGTGATTATGGAGTTTCCAGCTTACTTGAGGACATAATATCAGACAGTTTGTCATCTGTGGTGTCAGCAGTTCTGCCTAGAATATCTTGCAGGTCAACTATACCATACTTTACCTGTAAAATACAAAAAATGTTTAACTGAATTAACAATGACATGGTCAAAGATCAACTATAATATGAAGACATTATTAAAGAAAAATACACTGTATCCATAGTCACGACAGCAAAGGCATTGCCCTTTTATGTTTGTTTGCTATGTTTTTACATGTACTAAATAACAGCCAGTGTAACTTTGTATTGGAATCTCTTTGTGCTTGTATATAATGGCTATTGGCTCTCTCATTATATATCATGAAAGTAAGCAAAATGTTTTGCCAAAGGTCACAACCAAGACTTCTTCAGCTTCTTAAGAAACATAACTACTTTCAAAGTTGCATGATTTTATGTTCTAGTGACCAAGATACCATGACAAATCATAATTATTCCAAATTATATACCTGTTCATTATATCAAGCTGAATTTTAGAATAATACAACAAATGTGAATCAACACATACATTTTTTCTTACAAAAATTGAATTGCTTACTTCTTCTGAACATTCTTTTACAGTCTTTAAAATCACATTCAATAGGTCTCTGCAAATGAAATAAAAAAATTTCAAACATTTTTATAATAAGTCCAACATTACATTTCATTTTAAACTATCTATTGGGAGCTTTTATAAATCTATTCCATAACTACATTAATTTCTTTCTTTTTCATACTTTAGATATCATTACCTGAGATACTTATGCTAACGGTTAAATTTAGAATCTCCTTTGATCCTCTGGCAACATGAAAATGTTTCCATATTAAAAGTAAAAATAAACTTTATGCTGATGATTTATCCTAACCTTATAATTAGGAGAAGATAGATATATACTAGTTTTTAATTTCTAATAATCAGCATGAATAAAAAGACATTCAATATCACAATGCTATCATAATAATCCCCAAAAAGATGTGAAGTTTAGTTTTCTTCCATATGCAAAATTCAAGTACATGTATTTCAAAGCAAATGCTTTTCCTTCTTAATTCAATTTTATAACCATTACCTGCGGGGAAATAATATGACTCCTATGAAGCTCCCCTACATCTGTCTCTTCAATGGGCCCGTTTTTAAAAGTGTACCAAATAGGTGATTGAATTATGATACTTAAAATGTATCAAGTAGCTCTGCTTGAGGACTTTTTTCAACAGATTCATATTTGCTAAATTAGACCATGCAGAACAGAGAGTGACCCATTATGGCAGAAACTCATTTATTATTTCACTAAACAAACAGATAATGAAAGGTCTTTATGTTCCATTTCTGTTATTTTGTCATTTAATATTTGTCTTTCAATTTTTAAAATATGAAATTGTCTTTCAGGTATATGTACCTCTCATCTCGTTCTTTGGCTCTGGCTTTGTTAAGCTGGAGCTGCTGTTGGAAATTAGACTTTGTTGGAACAGTGGAACGGAGGTGATCATTTTTCAAAGTTTTTGGGTGGATATTTCCTCTTGACTGCTGGTTTCCATTCCCAGACATGTAATTATCTAGAAATCTTCTGCGACCTTGTGACTGTAAAATAAATTGAAATTTCTTTCTTTTTAACACTTCAATTTCTCCTTTACATAACAATTTTAGTTCCAATTCAGTCAAAGTGGCATCTATCACCGAGATGAAACCATCCTTTACTATACAAAACTTTTTCACCCTATACATTTGGGTCCAATTCCAAACAGTTTACATGTATATTGTTAAGTTTCCATAAAGAAATCTGGAAGAAGTTCAAAATTTTAAATCTTGATTCTTTTTTTTTGCGTGAGGACACTGAACCAGCAATTTATGTCACTTTACAGTTTTCCATTTCCTTTCCTTAATTCTTCCGGAATGTGACAATTTCCCAAATGAACCGGAAAATACATGTTGCTTATCATTACTTGTTCCAAATGGTTGTGACTATTCATTTGGTATTTTATTTTCTCTTGGTTGTGGTCTTCCATGACAAAGACAAAAAATAAAATGGCTGCTGGCAATAGTCAAAACCTTTTGGACTAATTTAAACTGTGCTAGTCATCACATGATCAGACTATTTATAAGATGACAATGAATTACAAAACATTAGTTACCACAACATGAAAGTACAGACTTTATCATATAATCATTTAATGAAGTTTCACATATTTGACTTTAATGATATCAGAGTTTTCATAAACTGTACTTCTGATCCACTGGAAAACTGTTGAGAATTGACTGCTTCCTGGGAATTTTGGGTCATCATATCATTGTATTGGGAGCTTTGTAGTTGAGAAAAACTTTCATTATCGTCAGGATATTCATGTCTTTCACTGAAATATACATACAAATCCAGAGTATAATTCAATGTGATCATTGATGGGCTAGTTAGTAGACCAATATCATTATATCTTTAGATTACTTAATTCTTGGACCTGATGTTGATTATAATGGTTATTTACTTATTTAAATGAAACTTCAAAACTTGGAAATACACACAAAAATGAATAAAACAAAACAAAAACTGAAAAAAAACCCTGATTGTTCGGACCTTTGTACATTCTGACAGCTATGGCATCTGTTATCTAAGCATATTTACCAAGATTCCATCTTTTCGGTTACTTCAAGATGTATAAAAACCAAACATTGGAAGTTCAGACTTTTTTGTCTGCAATAATTCATCCAGATAAAATTCAATTACCTGGGATTTTTGTTACCAAAACCTTACCTTGGATTAGTTGAAAAGAGCTCCCTTGTTGTAAGCTGATTCATATACATGGCAGCATCTCCTAAAATATAACTCATGAGAACATCGATTTTTAAAGAATATATATACATATAATTCAATAAGATTTACATTAATTCTAAACATGATATAAGAAAGCAGTTCCCCTACCTCCCCTCTTCCCACCAAAAAAAAATCCAGCAGACGTTACCTATATGATTGCTCCAAACACAAAAATTAGTTACTGTTTGTGTGCTAAACGTGATGTTTCTTTTGAGAAACAATATTTAAACATAATCACTTTCAAAACCGATAAGAAAATATGGTCATAGCAGTAGTAGCATTTGTTGAAATACCGAAGAAATATTTTTTGAATTATTCTTTGCAAACCTGCGAGAGCAGACGACAACAGGAAGTTTTCCTTTTGACTTTATATACTAACCGTCGTAAAAATCAGAAACCTTCCGATGGAGTTCCGCGCACCTTGCTCAGATAAGACAGTGTTGTTGATTGGCTTAGCGTAATCATCACTAGCTACGATTTGTTTACACCGCCATTAACACTCGCATTGAAACCGGGCTTCTTGGTAACTCGAGTTCAGACCGACACGAGATCATCTGATAACACTATAAGTCAAAAGCCCGGATGCTTTTATTCATATACACCAATATTAACTGAGTTTTATTGGTGTGACAAACAGGATTTTAATTGCCTGTCCTCGGAGGCTGGCAAAATGAAGACGGACCAAATCGTAGGAACATGGGTGAGCTAACAGTAGATTTCTGAAGTTATCTGTTCTGCTACTGTTCGCCAATTTGGAACTTAAAATCGTGGTTATTTGTTATCAAAGTTAAGGAGAGAAATTATGAATTAATTTTATTATCATCATATGCATACATGGCTGTTGTCAACAATTATATTTTGAACACAATAAGCAATAAGCACATCAATATGAAAATTGTTGAATTAATTTTGAACTTCCGGCGAAGGTCTGCCATACTTTCTCTCCTTTCTTACTGTCTTTCATATACCAGTCCTTTAAGTACCATATATACATATTTCGCAGACTTAGACAAATAAATTTATTATTTATCACGGCTTTATGATATACAGTGCAGGAGTTAAATAGCATCTGCAAATAAAATTTAAGAAGTAATTCAATAATTTGCTTGTGCTTTCAAACACATGATCAACACCTATACATGTATAGTATGTATCATATACATGGTACTTAGCATACTAGTACGAAGGGTACTGACTATCTATATTTTTGTCTTTTTCATAGTTGATATGGATCACGAACAAGACAAAAATAAAATCATGGATAGATAGTCAGAACTTTATGGACAACTAACATACATAGGCATCTGCCTGGATGATAACAGAGAATACATATATCATATATGAATAATCACATATCACATCAAATTTGCAGATATATGTTCTTGGTTTTCATCAAAAGGGATGTTCATGCATTATACATGTATGTGTTTTTGTTTGTTGTATACAAGTATAAAGATGTGTACAGATGGAAGTAGTATAATCCAAGTTTTACTTTACTTTACACTGCAAGATACCATCTCAGCAAGTGGGAATTTCCTTTTAGCCTTGTACATTACTCTAGCTTCATTGAGGGCAGGACATTTTTCATTATCCCTTCCAATTACAGATTTGCTTCTTTTAAATATCTCTCAATATTCAAGTCCTTCATCATATTTCAGCAGTATATTGTATAAAGTTCACTAATAATTTTGTTATGTATCTCTTAATGGTTTCAGTTTCCATCTGGATACTATGGTCATTTCCGAAGCAAATCAAGGAATGATTTTTGCAATGAATATCGCAACCTTGCAAGACCTCAGCCACCCAAGAAATTTTTCAACAGGTCAAAGGTAAACTACAGCTTAATATTTTTTATCAGAACAATTCTTTTAATGTTGGTATTGTTTTAATGAAATGTGTTGATGAATAACTATCCCATAAAAAAATCCCTATAATAAATTGTTTTCTTGGACTTTGTCTGAGAGTGTTAAAACATCTTCTAAGAGTTGTTACGTTTTTTGTTTGAAACCTACTGGGGTGCAGGTCTTGTTGCATGTTTTCTCTTCCATTTACATTAACCTTTGTTTTAGCACAGTATATGCTATCAGAAAGTTGATATTCAAATATAAATATAAAGGCAACTGCAATTGTGCCTATCTGTTTTTAAAATGCTTATTAAATATTAATATTTTAGAAATTGATCCTAAAAACATTTCGCATTTAGGTATGTTTTATTAACTGATAATAGAAATATAAGAACTCCTTAAAAAATGTCAGAGAAGAAAAAAACAATTTTCCTGTTTATTGGCACGTAACAAAATATGCTTCATTGAATGTATTTTACGATTTTATATATACTGCTATCATAATTAGAAAACAAATGATAGTTACAAAATATATGTAACCAAACCCTAGCTTATGGTAATAGAATACTTGTGAATTGTATTTTTCTTGTGACCACCTTGTTTCAAAATTGTCTTGTTTAGATGTGTGTTATTGTATATATATATATGTCACAGGGTACATGTTCGATCAAAACACAAAATATTTTGCGATAAAAGACACTCATTTTATTGAATCATTGTGAACATCGATATGAATCTTACAGAAAGGGCCAATGGTCCACGGCTAATATTTCTTTAAATACAAAATGGTGATTTAGCCTTTATGGTATCAAGCCTTATAATCTGATCTTGATCCATATAGTGTGTACATAAATGATAAAATTGGAATATATTAATATCAAACAATACTTCTGGGATTTTCAAAAAATGTTTTTAGTTATCCTATGATAACAAAAAGAAAAAAGTCCGACAATTTTAAAATTAAACATGAAACAGATATTTTATTTTCATATTTTCATAAATACTGTTATTGATGAAATTTTTATTTGGTTTGGTATGAAAAAAACAATTAAGCTTGATATAATTCTTATTAAAAGAATGTCATAAAAAAAGTAAACTACATCAAGCTGACTAATCGTAAATATTGGACATCTTGTTGTTGAGATAGATAAGTTATTGTATTCTGAGTGTTAGAGTGGATTCTATAGATACACATCATTTTAACAATACCTTAGAAGTGGATTGTTTACAATTCAGTCTTACCTGTACAGGTAATAAAACACAGGTAAGATTTACAGATGTTGGTATTTGTGTATCACAGGTTAAATGGCTCTTGTATCAGACCAGTATATAAGGACAACAGTAAACAATCTCATCAGTGAATAGTAACGCCTTCAATGTTAATGTATAGTCATTCAATCAAAGGGATTATTGTATTGCATTGCAGGTGCTTTAAATCTTAATATTTTCCCAAATAAAGATTTAAATGGGTTTTTTAACGAGATAACAAAACATAATGGTTCAACATGGAGGGGTATGACTAGTACTTTATACAGTATTAACAATATGTCTTCTTTATGAAGGTGTCATATTTAAAAAAAAAAGAATGTCTATTTTATGGATATTCTGTAAAATACTAATTCTGTATAGAGAAATATATAGGTAATCAATGTTCAATATAGAAAGGTTTAAACAAATGAAACATGTCCATGTTTATGTCACTATTCTTTATTATGAAGCTGCAGGATTTCTAGAAGATCATTGTTAAAAAAAACAATATAATGCTTAAAATTACAAACAATTATTTTCTGAGAGTACTACTGGTACTCATCATATTTATTAAAATCGGAGAAATTTTCTTACACATGGACAATATAAGAGAAATTAGTGAGAATACTGGATGTAGAATGATGTTTGTCAGGTTTCCCTAGTTTAAAACACTGACATCAGTAGTATACATTGACTTTAGCTTTGAATTCCTGCTTCACCACTCTGTGTTACTGTTGGTTTTAGTTCTGTTATATCTACAAAGTTAGGATGTAGAATACTGACAAATCTGTTATAGATGAGGTTTTTGTCAGCGATTCTTTACAAAATGATGATAGTAGTTCCCACAAAAGCAGTAGTAAATCATTTGGACTGTTGTCCGTAAACACACATAGTTCATTATCTATTGACCTAGTGGTAGTTGTCAGAGTTTTATTGGTGGGACTTGTGTGTTCACTATGTCAATGCTAGCCCTGGCAACAACACAAAGAATGACTATACTCTCAAACCCTTCTGTGTAAACTGTGTTTACCAAAACAGAAAGCAAATTTGTATTTTAAAACCATTAATTGTCGTTCTTTAGTTGGATTTCCTGACGAAGTAAATAAGGCCATTGAAATGCTGATCAAAGGTGCTATAATCTATGCACATATCTTGAGTGTATCGAGCCCTATTAATGGCATTGACAATTAAGTCACATCATGTATTCCTGTAAACTTTAAATCAGCAAATTTTTCATGAGTATGAAACAAAAAAATAAAAATATACATCCTTGGATTTCAAATTAAATCATAAAAATATATAAAAAAAAGAATCGTCTTCCTGCTGACAACGTAAATGTCTCTGATGTATGGCCATTTTTAATTTGAAATATAAACAGATTGTAGCTCTTTATTCAGTCATATACAAAATACATGAATCATTCACTATAAACGATCTTCTCTGTCAGATTCTGTGTTAATTCCCTACTTTTTAAAAATTTAAATATACTTTCTTAACTTCTTTTGATTACAATTTCATGTTATTTGCTAACAAAAGACTTCTCCAGTTCACACCTATATATATTATTTTAATACGTACCTTCTGATAAGAAATTGAGATATCATTTCTCTTCTGCTGAAAATAGAAGAATAATCATCATGGAACAGGATGATTAACTTTGATGTCAGATTGTTTTTCATGATCTACATGCATTCATCGTATTTAAAAATCAGAAAGAAATGCGAGCACTGGATAAATTATAAAGTTGTTTTGTTATTATTCATCAAAATGAGACAAAAATCAAACCAGATAAACATCATTTAAAATCAGGACATTTTCAAGAAAGTTCAAGGTGCTTATGACATAGACTAGAAATGTTCACAGTGGGGATTTTGTTGTAGAATATGTTTTGTTTATACGGGTCTCTGGATTATATACAGCTTCAAAGAAACATTTACAGCAGACAAGACTTGATAGTTGAATGTTTTGTTTATACAAGGGTCCAGATAATACAGTGTTTCAGAGAAATTTGTTTACAGTGGTACCTTGTTGAATGTCTGGTTTAAACAGGTGTCCAGATTATGCAGTGTTTCAGAGAAATTTGTTTACAGTGGGACCTTGTTGAATGTCTGGTTTAAACAGGAGTCCAGATTATACAGTGTTTCAGAGAAATTTGTTTACAGTGGTACCTTGTTGAATGTCTGGTTTAAACAGGAGTCCAGATTATACAGTGTTTCAGAGAAATTTGTTTACAGTGGTACCTTGTTGAATGTCTGGTTTAAACAGGAGTCCAGATTATGCAGTGTTATATGTAGATATATACAGCAGGACCTTATTATAAGTCTGGTTTCTACAGGTGTACATATTACACAGGGTTATATAGAAATGTATAAAGTAGGACCTAGTTATACCTCTAGCTTATACAGATGTCCATATTATACAGGGTTATATAGAAATTATTACAGCAGAACCTCATTATAGATCTGGTTTATACAAGTGTCTAGATTATACAGTGTTATATGTAGATGTATACAGCAGGACCTCATTATAGATCTGGTTTATACAAGTGTCTAGATTATACAGTGTTATATGTAGATGTATACAGCAGGACCTCATTATAGATCTGGTTTATACAAGTGTCTAGATTATACAGTGTTATATGTAGATGTATACAGCAGGACCTCATTATAGATCTGGTTTATACAAGTGTCTAGATTATACAGTGTTATATGTAGATGTATACAGCAGGACCTCATTATAGATCTGGTTTATACAAGTGTCTAGATTATACAGTGTTATATGTAGATGTATACAAGTGTCTAGATTATACAGTGTTATATGTAGATATATACAGCAGGACCTCATTATAAATCTGGTTTATACAAGTGTCTAGATTATACAGTGTTATATGTAGATATATACAGCAGGACCTCATTATAAATCTGGTTTATACAAGTGTCCAGATTATACAAAATTTCAACTTTGATTGGTTGCTGAAGCATTTGAAATAATTCTCAGTTTAATTTTTGTTTCCAAAAACTTATATACTCCACTAAAACAAATATTGTTCTGAAAACCTTTTAGGGATACATGTATTTTAAATAATTGTTCAGGATAAATACGGTATGCATACATAATGAGTTGACAAGTACCCTTCCTTTTAGAAAATATAAACTTATTAAGCAATCAGCATGTAGCTTTGAACCTTAAATGCTCGAGCAGTCAGAATAATGGTGATTGAAATGGAAAGAGTAGATAATTATTTGAGTTTGAACACCATTAGAATTTTACAAAGGCATAATTGTAATGTAATTCTACTGACACTGGAGAGTAATTCTGATAATTGACTACCAACATGCTATTAGGTGCTTATGATATGAAACTCCCTGGGCAAACAATGCCTTTTCATGAAATTTGAACTTTGTAGGTCTAGTTTACATATCTGTCATTTTTCACTGACAAACATAATGTGCAATTTTTTTAAAGTATTTATTGTGTAATTCTCTGGATTTTTTCATCGGTTTCTCTTTTTGTCAGATTGGCTATATCACAATAGTGAATGGTGAAAACAGCTGTACATTCCTTCCTATGGAACAGTCATTTGTACTGTGTACTGTTGTCATGACAACATTGTATACATACTCTACTTATAAGTCTAATAAGAAGTCCACCCTTATATATTGCTGTATGTCTGGTAATAAGCCCACTCTCTGTCTTGGAGTAAGGTTTAATGTGTTGGCTTCCTGAGGTCCTGTTAT